CCCTGGGGCTTCTGAGGCTGGGTCCCGCGACTTTGCTTCCGTGTGGTGGGCGACCTTGTTCTCCCAGTAGGTCGTCCGATTCACGCCTGCTCCATTCAGAAGGGTTTCCCCTGCAATTTTGTTTGGTTCTATTTTCTGCGGCTACCGTAACTCCCCTTTTATTAAACTAAATTTTCCCGGACTATCGGTGCGCGCCCTCACTATTCCGCCATCTTCACTTAATGCCATCTTACTAGTTAAAGGATCAATTCGAGTATACAACTGATCCTAAGATGGGACTTCGTTTGTTTGATAATTTTTTATGGCCCTTGCCTATATTCTTCCTTACTAGCTGAACTCTTTATGAGTGAAATATAAAGCTCTTAGGAGGCAAGTTAAAAAAAATACACTATTTCAAAAATAATAAAAGATTTAAAGAGAATGACAAGCCCTTACTTTCTAAATTTTTGGTTTGTTAAGAATAGTATACAAACTGAAATGTCTCTGTAGGGATTCTCAAAATCCAATAAAATCTCAATTATGAAAAAAAGCTTATCTCGTATTCATTGTATTGCTCTGATGCTATTCAATTTCACATACACGTGAAAACATACTACCATTTTCTTAATTAAAGGAAACAATCTAAAATAAATATGCATCACCAACTTAAAATGCAGCATAATAGCCTTTTGACTGAGCACGTCAAGAAAGAACCATTCAGTCATTTACAGGCTATGTTTTTGTATTGATTAACCTTTTTCAAATACCATAATATTAGTTGTGACATTAATCATTTAAAACCCCTTAACCTTATACACCAAGTAACATGTTGGTATTTTTACTTACATTTAATCCACAAGAGTTGTACATATGTATGGGCTAGTGTGACATTTCAATACTTATATAAAATTTGTACTGATCAAATCTACATTTCTCTTTGGACATTATTTTACGCTTAGAGCCTTGAGCTCGTGTACTTGGTTTGCTAATAAAAGATCTAACAGAGATTACTGTGAGCTACACACAGCCCACTGTGTGACTTTAGGAAATGACTCAATGATCTACTGCCACTAGGATACAGCATCATCCGTAAACCCTTTTTTCCACCTCGTTTTAATATCGCAACTGGTTTCAAAAGCAAAACACAGAGAAACAATAAAGGGGAGAGGGGGAGAGACAAAGAGAGAAAGATACCCACCCGTCTAGCAGTTCATTACCCAAATGCCCACAAGGGCTGATCTGACCCAGGCTGAGCTGGGAGATGGTCTCCAAGGTGGTAGCAAGAATCCCACTACTTAAACCATCATTGCTGCCACTGGTATCCTGAGCATTGTCTTTCCCACTAGGCCAAACATCCATCCTTCAAAAAACTCTGACATAGCCTCATATAGCCCTGGCTTCCAGAGGAGGAGGCCACAGTCCCCTGTCTTGACCCCATCACTGCATGGTCTCCTACTCCCCAATCACCACACATGCCCCCATGTGTGCCTCCCACAACCTCCCTAACTTCAACCAGCCCACTGTCTTCTCTGGCATAAGGGCCACATCATAATACAGCTTCAGATATCTGTATGTGGATACTCAGTTTGGTTCTGCCTGAGATATGGGTACCCGGGTCTGCTGAGTGTACACTTAACAACCCCAGTGTGCAATGAGGCCCAGTGTCACCTGGGGACCTAGTACCACAGATAGAACAGAACATCAGAGCACTGAAGCTAGGACGGCGGCACGGGACTCGGACCACGAGCCAGCAGTAAGGGCCAACCTGGCTTCTGCCAGCTTCTGCCAAGCTCCTGCTCAACTCCAGCCACAGCATCTGGTTAAACGGATCCAACGGAAGACACTGGGAACCCTGGCCCACCAGGGCTGCCAAACATGCAGTCACTGGACGTAAGGGCCCACATCTGAGGCAGAAGCAACCTAGCTATCCACATGTACAAAACTGAAACTGTGGCACGGCACTGTCACACCACATATTAAATCAACTCAAAATGAACTGAGAGTCCACACAGAAGATCTGAACCCTTACAACTTATAAAATAGAAAAATCCTTGACATTAGCCTCAAGAGTGGTTGCTCATGTGTTAACAATTAAGCACATGAGCAAATATAAGGAAATGAAACTACAACAAACTAGTAAAGCAAGGATCAATGAAATGAAAAGGCAAACCAATGAATAGGAGAGAATGTTAGCAAACCAGATGTGCGATCAAGGGAGTAATACAAGGAATGTGCACCACTAAGAAGCAAAGAATACAATTAAAAAGGGACAAAGGACTGAATCAATGTTTTCCAGCAAAGACATACAATGTACCCAGTGGGTATGTGAAAAAGTTCTGAACATTGCTAACATCAGCAAAATGCAAACCAAGATGACAATGGTTATTATCTCCTATCTGTTAAATGGCTACTGTTAAAAAGCTAAAAGATAACAAGTATTGGGCACAACATAGAGAAAACGAACACACATTATTGGAGGGAAGGTACACTGTACCGTCCATTATGAAAAACAATATGGAAGTTCCTCAAATACAATTTAAAAAGGAACAACCTTTATTGACCATGAATCCAAAAGAAAATCACCATCTCAATGAACTGTCTGCACCCCCACATCACTTCAGCATCATTCACAATTCCACGATATGGAAATAATCCAAATGTTTGCTGATGGACCCATAAGGAAAAATGGGATACACACACAGTGGCATCCTCGCCAAACCTTAAAAAGAAAGGAAATATTACTACTTGTCACAGATGGATCCAAAAGTATGGAACTATAGGACATGACCATGAGGGAAACAAGACACACAGAAATGAAGCACTACTACACGATCACACTTCCATGTGGAATATACAAAGTCCAACTAACACAGTCAGAGAGCAGGATGGTGTCTGTGATGAACTGGGAGCATGAAACTGAAGAGAGGGCAGTCAAACGATACAAACATATGGTGATGGGGCTGGAGCTGGGGTGTAAAAAAAAGCCTGAGCCTCCACCGGCACTGCCAGCATCGCGTATAAGCACCAGACCAGGTCCCAAGTGCTCCACTTACCATTCCCCTCCCCGCTAACGTGCCTGGGAAAGCACTAGAAGATGACCCAAGGACATTGGCCCCAGTGCCAAAGTGGGAGACCTGGGGCAGAGCCCTGCCACTGAGGACATCTGAGGAGGGAAATAATGCATGAGATGAGATATCCCTCATCCTCTCGCTCACCCTGTCTGTCTCTGCCTTACTCTCTTTATCCCTCTCTCCCCTTTTCTCTGTTTCCTGCCTTTCAAAAGAAATGTACAGGGGTCGGCACCGTGGCTCACTAGGTTAATCCTCCACCTGCGACGCCCGGCATCCCATATGGGCACCGGTTCTAGTCCCGGTTGCCCCTCTTCCAGTCCAGCTCTCTGCTGTGGCCAGGGAGTGCAGTGGAGGATGGCCCAAGTGCTTGGGCCCTGTACCCCACGGGAGACCAGGAGAAGTACCTGGCTCCTGCCATTGGATCAGCGCAGCACGCCAGCCGCGGCGGCCATTGGAGGGTGAACCAACGGCAAAAGGAAGACCTTTCTCTCTCTCTCTCTCTCTCTCTCTCTCTGTCACTGTCCACTCTGCCTGTCAAAAAAAAAAAAAAAAAGCATAGGAGTGTCAATGAGAGGGCAGGTACGGTAGAAGAATTACTGCTACCAATAAATACAGCTGCTAAAGCTGCAATTATTGAATGCATAAAGTATGTATACCTTAAATAAAAGTTGTCTGGGAAAATACATAAAGAAATAAAATTTGAAAAAGTTACAAAACACGGTAAAAGTGATAAATTTGTTAAGTGGCCTCATTGTACTAATCCTTTCATAGTGTACTGTAAGTACCAGGAGAGTCGAACGGTTTGTGTGAAAATGCAATATGCAGATCAGACTCACATCGAAACACAGAGAACGTGCCTTGAATAGATAGAATTTTTGTTTCTCAGTTACACTGTGAAAAGGCTGGAAAAAATAAAGCATTCAAAAATAGGTTCCTATACTTAAAATGCATCATAAAAGTTAAGGAACTTAGGTTAATATTGTGGGGTTTTGGTAGGCTTCATGGGACAGAAATGATGCTAAAACATTCATGATTGGGGCTGGCACTGTGGCATAGCGGGTGAGGCCACCAAATGCAGTGCTGGCATCCTACACGGGCACCAGTTCAAGTCCCGGCTGCTCCACTTCCAATCCAGCTCTCTGCTATGGCCTGGGAAAGCAGTGAAAGACGGCCCAAGTCCTTGGGCCCCTGAACCCACGTGGGAGACCCAGAAGAGGTTCCTGGCTCCTGGCTTCACACTGGCACAGTTCCGGCCCTTGCAGCCAACTGGGGAGTGAACCAGCAGGTGGAAGACCTCTCTCTCTCTCTGCCTCTCCTTCTATCTCTGTGGAAGTCTGACTTTCAAATACATAAATCCTTAAAAAGAACATTCACAACTTGACTAAACTAAATTTCAGGAGATTTATATCTTGAAAATAAAGATTCGGGAATTCCATCAAGAGAATATTTAAGACAATATCCAAGTAACATAATGCATTGTCGCCCCACCCCACCTCCCTCAAACTGAAAACTCAGAAATACAACATGAAAGGAAATGTATCTGAAGGAAACCAGGAAAGTGAAAAGTGAAACGAGAATCCTAAATTACTATGTGCTATTCTCCCACCAATGTGTGCACATTCCTATGTGCATTTAACATAGCTACTATTATAGGCAGGTTGTGAATTAGCCCAATTAAACTATGGAATGGAAAATGCAGGGCCTGCTTCATCAGTAGGCGACCAGTGACACTGCAAGAAAATGTTAACATAATTTAAATGTCTTTAAAGTAGCACTCTGAAAACCACAGATATACCAATTCATTGAAGGATTTCCTGGACTCCATGCCTGTTCTCTCACTACAGAACTCCCAAATATTTGCAACATTGAACTGCAAGTCAGTTTTAGTTTTCCCATTCATAATTACTGAGGTGTACATAACTCACAAACAAAACAAAGGCATTGTGTGAGGTGAACACTCCATCTAGTTCCCCCCCCCCCATAGATACGATTCTAGTCAAACACAGGGAAAGCATCTTAAGACGTTTGGCGTAAACCACTTTAATTTTGGAATTTCCCCAGAAAGTTTCTAAATTTTAACTTCCTGTTAGTAGTACACTAGTAGTTGCTAGCCTAGGGAGAGGCTAGGCTTATGGGAGATGATAAAGTTTTATGGTGGTCACAGGAGCAGAGGTGTGGAAAAGGTGACGGAATTGAGACACAAAAGCGAAAAGCCAAAGAATCACGTATTCATGTGGCTTCCAGAAGGGTGTGGGGACCAGCCAGCCTTTGAGATGCCTGGTGAACGTTATCAGAGAACATGTGTGGACTGGGAGCATGAGAAAACAAGAGAACAGATTTTTCCTGGTTTGTTGTGTGTGAGGGAAAAGAATTATGGAATCAAGGAATCAAGTTTGAAAATAGCCAAAATGAGAAAACCGTGGGCAACATAAACAGGTCTAGCTAATGATGGGAGAAAAAGCCAAGACCCTCCTGAAACACGGTACAGAGATGAGGCTGTCTAGGATGAGAAGACCAGTGAGAACAAACACTTAGACTGAACATGGGGTCATTTCAACATCTGGATTTGAATAATCAGGACTAAGAGGAACACCAAGAGTGGATAATGAGGAAACTGGAACATCCATGATGACTCGCCTCAAGGGGTTGTTACCGATTAGTCCCTGCTCAGCATCTCCTAAAATGAAAACCAAGGAATGATCCTTGGATGTCAACACTAGTGAATGCTAACCAGCAGGAAGGAAGACTCGATTCTCCACATACTATAAGAACCAAACCACAAAACACAATACCTAGGGATTCTGAAATTCTGTGTTGTTTAAACACACGGACTAACAGGGATTTCATTTCGTCAACCAAAGTTTCACAACCAATGGCATGGCAACCATTGTGGATACTGTGCAGAAACAATACCCCTCTCCTCTCCGACCGAAAAATATCATAATCCAAGTGATTTCAATATTTCAAAATCTAACTTAGAAATAAAAAGAACCAGTATTGAGTTATTCAGAACCTTATAGTTTTATACCTGCAACAAATATACTTAGGGAATAATGCTTCCTTCTCAAACTTTCGGTGCCATCCTCTGATCTACTTGCCTCTGATGATAAACAGAGTCCCCACAGTCCTAGCTAATGTAATAATATGACTGGGATATGTGAAGTTTACATCGTATGTCTCCCCATATAGCCGCATTCGTTAAGACAATCTAACAATATCTTGCTAAAGAACTTTTTCATAAAATTAGGGCAACACTGGATATCACAGAGGCAGAATTAGAATTCAGTGGGGCAATGACATCGATATACAACCATTTTGGGGGGTTTCCCAGTCAATGCTATCACTGCTGTGTTGCAGAACCTTCCATGTAAACTGAGATAAACTAGCTTAGCAAATTAGGAAAAACAGGAGTCAAAGCCTGTGAGCAGGAACTTCCTTTCTGGATGACTAGATCCGTTTTCTCAGCTCCTATCCACCAAGCAGAACTATAAATCCAGAAAATAACACAAGAAACCTGGAAATTAACGCAGTCGCTGGGCATCGTAAGTGCCCACCCGACAGAAGATGACTCACCTGCTGGTTCACCCATCCTGGCATGACAATTCAGCCAGGTAGGCCCATTCCTTCTGGAACCGTATGTGATACCTCCGAGCACATACACATTTTACGATATACAATGTAAAGCCTATTTAGAACATGTGACATGAAATTTATAATATATAATACAAATTGAATATACAGCATTCAATTTATAACATACAATATAATACACAATTTATCCTTCCTTTCCCCTGGCTCCTGAAGGCCCGAGTGTCCCCTGCCTGTGGCCAGGGCCGGCATATGATACGCACAAACATTTCAAGAAGACTCACCAGGCGAGGAGGGACAAACCTGAGGGTCCTGTTGAACCTACTGCCACTCCTCCGACACCAGCAGCCCGGCCCTTCCTGCAGGTGTTGCTCTTGGCTGCTCACCTCCTTGTTCGAAGGCTTGGCGCCAGTGCTCAGCACATGTTCCAACAAAGAACTCCACGACGCTGGATGCTAAGAAGAGAAAAGGGAAACAGCAACACTGAGCACCCTTTTTATAAACTCGGTATTCGACAGCATGCGTCAATTCTGATTGGATTCCCTTCAGGCACCAACCAATCAGAAAACAAAGACCAAGCCCACACAGGCTTGCACACGGGATGTGGCTCCAGGCTTCTCCGGAGCTCCTGCTGTCTGTACCAAGTAGACAGCGAGGCCAGGCTCCAGTGCGGTGGGGCCGCGGGTCAGCTGTTTGCTTCACTTTTGCCATGGAATTTATTCCACCATTCGATTTAAAATTTGACAGTTTTTCTCTTTAGGTACAGTACATACTCCTCTGATTTTCTCCCTAGAGTGTTCAAATAAAGTGAAACTGCTTTTATAGGACTCATGCATTGGGAGTGGTTTTGTTTTTCAACGACTGGATTACAGAAAGAAAACAAGTATGGGATGCTGGCATTACGGGTGGTGGCTTGACCCACTGCACAACACTAGCCCCTACCCACAGGAATTTAGAAGCCCAATGATTTAGAAAAAGACTGTCTCACATGTGGAAGGAATGCAAATGTATAGTTTCGGTAAGTCTGAATGACTTTTATTGCAGAAAACAAGAAAACACAAAGATATTTCAACTAGGTGATGAGGAGTCTGATATACAACAAATAATTCATTTAGCAGTACCATTACCACTGCGGGATCTTTTCCTCTAACTACTGGTTTAGACACTTGATTTGAATTTGTGGCCAGCCTTGGAAAGCTGGAAATCTTGATGCCAAGCAGAAGCGAGATGAAATTTGAAACAGAGGCATACCAGCTAGAACCACAGCCTAGACCTAATTCTAGTGTTTACCCTTGGCGAGAGTTGGAAATCACAAACTCTGTAAGTAAGAAAACACCATCTCCACCTCCAGATTCCACGTTAAGCACCATGTGCGCTGACCAACAATGCTTTCCTCCCTCCTACTTAATAAAAATATAATAAAAATAAGTCTATGATTGCTGCACTAATTGTAAGATACCTCTGCTTAAAGATACACCATGAAATAAAATATTTCAAGGATTTATAATAACTCTAAGAGGTTTCTAACTCAGAGAAAGTTCCAGGAGGCAAGGGTAGGTCTGTTCTAGTCTCTAGAACAGTGGGCAATCAATCCCCCAGGGCCCCAACTGTTCCCCTCCGAGGTGACTCAAAAACGCGTGCTTGAGCAATTTTGAAAAGTCACAAGTTGAGGGGCTGTGTACTAACAGAACCCTACCAGCCATCCAAATGAGGGAGAACCATCATGCAGACATTGTGCAGACACCACACCACCTGTGGGTAAGGCCTCCCCAGTGTGCACAGCACTAGCCCTGGAAATGCCAGTCACAGGGCGTAACGATGCCCACGGGGGCTGTGCAGTGTGACGACTCTGCCAGTAATAACATCTCTACCCAACAGCTCTCGAGTAGCTCAGGAGCGTAGCAGTTACATCTTGTAAAACTAGCAGACGTGACTTTTACACAGGCCAAGAATATCTACTAGCTCACTTCACACAAGTCAGTATGTGTCATTTCTGATGATCATCAGAAATTATAATCATCAGAAATTATAAATATCAGCAAACTTCAACAAGAATTTCAGGCAAGATTTTAGGTCAGTGAGTACTGTGGGTCTGCAAGATTCTTCTTCTTTCTACTTGAGGCTTTCTTTGAATGGTTAAAGGTTCTTTTTTAAAAAAAAAAAACATTTTATTTATTTTAAAGGCACAGTTACAGAAAGAGAGGGAGAGAAAGAGAAAGAGAAAGAGAAAAGAGAAAGAGAGAGGTCTTCCATACACTAGTTCACTCCCCAGATGGCCACAATGGCCAGGAGCCTCTTCTGGCTTTCCCACGTGGGTGCAGGAGCCCAAGCACTGGGGCTATCTTGTGCTGCCCTCCCAAGTGCATTAGCAGAGAGCTGGATTGGAAGTGGATCTGGGAATCTGAATCAGCGTCCATATGGGACGCTGGTATCATGGGGGGCGGCTTTACCAGCTAAGCCAAAACACTGGCAGCAAAAGTTCTTATCTTCTACTTTAAGATTTACAAAACCCCTCAGAAATCTAGAAATTTTATGACACAGCTAACAACTCGGAAAGGACAAGAGTTATTAATGGGTGGAGTAGGGCATCTGGTACAGTGCTTAAGGAGAAACAACCTGGGCCTGGTGAGTGGACAGTGCTGTCTGTGACTGTCCACCAACCTACTTTATTTTCAGCTGTGAGTCCTAGAGGTTTGAGAGCACATTTAATAATGTACAAAGCAAAGAGGCAGAAAGAAGGGCAGTCAGGCACAAGAGGGCACTGCTCTAGTCTTTTCCACACTGCAGGTGCGGAGATCTGTTCAACACCTGTGTAAATTTCAACGCGGTCAGCCTTGTGCTAGGGAGAGAGCTGGCCTGCAATGCCATTGCCTACTGCAGAATGCTAGCAAAGACCTAGTGATTCTGAACTAACACAAGTCATCAAAACAGTTCCAGGAATGCTCTGGTATGGATAATCCACGTTGCTCCCTGCAGCATTGCTTTAATGGTGAAATATCAGAATTATCATACAAAATAGCAACCGCTTATGTTGGAATACAATGTAATCTTATACAGTCACAGCCAATGGATTATACTCAGCAGCCAAGGCCAACCTCACGGGCGCAGCCTACATGGTCACAAAGGAGCCATCACACAGCGCTGGTACTCAGAAGGGCCTTCACTGGGTGTAAACCTCTGCTGGTGGTGACTCAAAATCCTCGGTTTGTAAGCGAGTCCAAAGAACATGAGGCTGAGCCAAGGAGGTATGCGGGAGAAAGGAAAGAGCTTTATGACTTAGTACCTTTAGTGGCACTTTATCCCTGCCTTAGGAACAAGGCGCTCACAAAATTATGCAGCAGGCCCTGTTAGCAGTGGTGATGCAAACCCCTCCCAAGCAGCCAGCCACCCTGTGAAGGAGGGAACGGAAGACTAATCAAGGAATGGCTTCTGGTATAGTGGCTAAGCCACTGCTGGAATCCCCACAGCCCATGTTAGAGTGCCCAGGATCAAGTCCTGGCTGAAGTCCTGATTCCAGCTTCCTGCTAATCCACCCTGGGAGGCAGCAGGTGAAGGCTCAAGTACTTACATCCCTGCCACTCACATAGGAGACTTGGATTGAGTTCCCAGGCCCTGGCTTCAGATACAGTTCCAGCTGTTGTGGGCACTAGGGAAGGAAACTAAGGGATGAAATATTTCTCTCTTCCTTTGAAATAAAGAAATAAGAAACAAAGACTAATCGCCAGGGACCTTGTGGACCCCTCAAACCCTCTGGTCTTAACCCTACCAGCAAATCTCCTTTCATACCTAAGGGTCCCTCTCAAAAGTCAGTTCCAGTCCCCGGGTGGCAAGATGCCCACCTCAGACTCCTCCGATAGCTCAAAGAAAGATGACCACTGGTGGGAACCAGGACACAGGACCTATATTAACAAATCACAGCATGAGGCCACAGAGTTATTAAGAAGGGTCCTTAGTAACATAGGACAAGTCCCTGTGGTTCTGCTCCATACAAAGACAAGCCCAAAAGAAAAGTACCACTGGTTTTTATGAGCTACACCTCTCTGATACGCCACCTCTAGAACTACTGGAACCTGGGGTTCCAACCCCAGGAGGGACACAGCAGAGCAGGTTTTAAACTGGGGCTTTACTGTTTTTGATATATGGCCTAGGGCAGGTCCCCACCTCCTTTAGCCTCCTATTTCAAAGGGGATCAGCAGTGCCTTCCTCACAGAGCTTTGAAGAGGATTAAACAGTACAATGTGGTATAATTAAATAAAACTCTTGCTTTCCCTCCTTGTGCTGTTATTTAGAAATGAGACGATGGTACACTAAGAACCCTGACAAGTGAAAGTGCTTCAAGAATGCTGATTCTGTTGCTGTCTCCTTCCTTGGCCCTCGTGCCCTTGTTCTTGAGACCAGACCCTTCATAAACCATCAGTTCCTGTCCCAAGACCCACCAGTGAGTGTATTGTTAGTTCTGCATAGGCTGAATACCAACTGTGTACCAGGGACTACAGGAATGAAAGCAGAGAGAAAAGGCCTGCCCTGGACAAGCTCACAGTCTTCTATGAGATACAGGTATTTAGCAAATACATGCTGATAAAATGGGTTAAGCGCTTTACGAAGATAAGCAGTGTGTTATGCAAGTTCTGGAAACGTATCCCTGCCTGGGAGGATGAGAGAAAAGTATCACAGAGAAGGAAGACCCTTGAGTTGGATATTTTGAAACATGGCTACGACTTTCTCAAGCTGAAAACACTGAGGAACATCAAGTAGTGGCTGCCTATCTGCAGAGCAGTGGCAAGTCTGGCATGACAGAAGCAGAGGCTGTGCAGCTTGGAAAAGGAAGCTGTGAACAGACCTGAGAACAAGGCCTTGGAATGCCCCCCTAAGGGATTAGGGCTTTTGAAAGTATGCAAGAGGAGATGAGAAAAGATCAGACAGTCCCCTGTGCTTTCTAGGGAAATGCAGGTGGTATGCAGGCCTGAAGCAGAAAAGCCTGGAAGAAAGAATCCGGAGAGCAATGAGACTTGGCAGCAGGCAGCCTCGGCCTGAGGGCTTGTGTAGGACCTGAGCCACCACTGACATAGATTCGGTGACTACTAGGAGACAGATGCTGGTAAAGAGGGTGCTGCCAAGCTTGCCAACTTGGAAGGCAAGTCAGATGGAGCCGCCAATACAGAGATCAGTGCAATGTGTGGAGCAGGTTTGAATGGAACAGGAAGTCTGCGGTACCTGCAGGACACTCAAGTGTGTGTCTAAGAGGCAATGCAAACGGAGATGTAGATCCCATGGTAGAGGCTGAGGATGGAGACACTGCTTTGGCAGGTAGTCTCATAGAGACGTCGGTTCAAGCCACAGCAGTACGATCACCTCGAGTTGATTCGAGTGCCCCAGGCCAGTGTTCCCGCACACACATTACGGTTCAGAACCACCCAGAGAAGAGAGGCCAGGAGTCAAGGCCGCTTCTCACGGACGCGGCCAAGACTGATTCCGGCCAGGGCCAGGAAACCCCCAAAACGGAACCCGGGCCGTGGGAAAAGTTCTTCCTCTCCCAACCCCCGCCTCCACCCGCCCACCGGCACTCCTGTCACACTCGCCCTCCCTCGACGCTGCCCCACACTCCTTCCTTCCCCTTCCTTCCACGCCACCCCACCTTCACGCCACCTTTTCCTTCTCCCCCCTTCCTCTCTCCTCCCAAATCTCCCTTGGCCGCCTCTCTCCTCCTCCTCTCCCCTCCACCCCTCACATGCACACCCCTTGCCCGCTATCTGCACCCCAGGCCCCACCTACCCCGCGACGACGGGAAGGCCATCGTGCCCAACTCACCAAACAAAAAGCGTTTCTGCTCCTCTGGAACAGGAGCCGAGGCCCGAGGGGTAGACTTCCGGAAGCTGCCCAAGAAGAGGACCGCGCCTACACATTTCCAGAAGGGCAAGGTAACTGATGCGGCTGTCTCGGGCTGCAGTGTCTCTGATTCAGGCCTGACCCCGGAGGCACTGGGTCTCACTCAGGCTCCGCCAGCAGCATCGAGGACGGCTCCTCAAGACTTGAACAGGCTTTTGGGCAGGAACAGATGAGGAGCAGACTTCCATCTGAGGATGGCTGAGCAGGAGATGTACCTACGGGTACAATTCCTGGTCACAGCGCAGGGCGCAAATTCACTCCCCACAGGCAGCTGCCATGGCGCCATGGGACACATCTGCATGCTGCTACGTCCAGTGTGGGGCGCCCAAGAGCCGATTCCAGTCCCGCTACTCCAGGTTGGGAACCAGGGAGGCAGCCGCTGATGGCCCAGGTACTTGGATCCTGCCTCCTTCCCTCCTGGGAGTCCTGAATGGAGTCCTTGCCTCCTGGCTTCTGCCTGGCCCGGCGCTGGCCTTTGAAGCCGCCTGGGGAGAGAAGCAGTGCATGGGGCATCACGAGCACTCTTGCTCTCTCTCAGTGATTGCCCATCTGGTGGTTCGCCCCCCTCCCAGGTGGCTACAAAGGCCAGGGCTGGGCCAGGCTGAAACAGAAGCCAGGGACTTTATCTGGTGCCCCATTCTGAGAACCTGCCACCGGGCCCCTGGCTCCTGAATACTGGCTCCGGATCTGCTCAGCCCCCATCATTGAGCCAATTTGCAGAGGACCAGCAGATGGAAGACTTACTTTCTCTTTCTCTCTCTCTCTCTCTGCATATAACTCTGAATTTCAAATAAACAAATAAGAACTTTATATAAAAAAAAGGGGGGGAAGACATAGCTATAAATAAAATACTACATCACGGCCAACTACTAGAGTTTATATCGAACTTGATACTATATGCATCACCTGGCCTATTAACACAGAACTCCTGTGGGAAGGATAGTTAAAACCCGTGATTTGCAAACCCTTCCAAAAAGGAGACGAAGGGGAAAAATCTTCCATCTCATCCCTTCGGACCAACATTTTCCCAACATCCAAAACAAATGCATCATAAAGAAAACGGCACATACGTATCTGTCATGACTGCGCTGTCACATTCCTCAACAAAATATTACCAAACGCGCTCCTGAAGCACAACCAAAGCTTAGCACGCTGGGTGCAACTCCAGGAATGCAAGGATGGCTACCATACACAATCAATATATCACAGAACAGAATAAACATGGGGAAAGCCCACAAAGTATCCCTATAGACACAGAAAACCTATTTCACAAAAACTCCCACCGCTTTGGCGATATCAAAATAAAAAGGAATCATCAAATCAGGAACAGAAGGTAAACCTCGGCTTGACAATGGCCTCTCACTGAAAACCCACAGAGCGCTAACATCACACCAAATGCCAGTTAACCGGAAACTGTCCTCCTAGACCAGGAAACAGACGAGCGTTTTCGCTCTTATTCCTCCCCGTCAGCAGTCTCGGGGGTCTCGAGCAGGGCGGCTGGGCCATCAAAACGCAAACAGACGGGAACGCGGGGCCGCTCCGGGAGGAGACGGAGCCCCTCTGCTCTGGCACAGCTGCTCGCACACTGGGGAAAGTTCCAGACCGACCGTCCGCACAGCAAGACCGCGACTCCACCCGCGCCTTCGGGACCCGAGAGCAACAAGCACGCCGGCCGCAAAGACTCGCAGCGGGAAACCCCAACAGCCCCGCGTCACTCACCGCCAAGGGGGCCCGGTCTGCTGGCGGCACAGAGGCCTGCGAAGGCCGCTGCTTCCACGAGGGGCTGAAGAAGAGAACCGCGCCCGGGAAACGGCGCGGCAGCTTCGGGCCGCAGCCTCTCTGAGCCCGGCCTGACCCCGGGGGCGCTGGGTCTCCCGCAGGCTCCGCTGGCAGCGTCCACGACGGCTCCCAACGGCTCGCGCGGGCTCTCCGGCAGCAGCGGACGGGACCCGCGAGGACTCCTACCTGAGTGCCGCGGGCCACAAGGGGCCACTTCCGGGGCACAAGGGGCCACTTCCGGGGCACAGCGCCGGGCGCAGGCGCACTCCCCACGGGCGGCCGCCGTGGCGCCACGGGACGCACCTGCGCGCTGCCTGCTGCGTCCAGCGTCCGATGCCCCAGGGCCGCTGGCGGGGCGGCCTCTCCAGCCTGTGACCCAGGGACCACGCCTCCCAGCCTCCTGGGCGCCCTGAATGGAAGTCAAGCCTCCTGGCTTCTGCCTGGCCCGGCGCTGGCCGTTGGAGCCGCTTGCGGAGAGAAGCAGAGCACCGGGCATCGCGAGCACTCTTGCGTCTTGCTCTCTCTCACGGATCGTCCCTCTGGGGGTTCAACCCCCAGGTGGCTACTAAGGCCGGGGCCGGGCCGGGCCGAAGCAGAAGCCGGGGACTGTATCCGGTGCTCCACTCTGGGTTCAGGGGCCTGAGTCCTTGGGCCGTCTCCCTCTGCTTTCCCAGGCATGGCAGCAGACAGCTGGATCCCACGGGGAAAGGCTCCCAGGAGGGGCCGGCGCTGTGGGGGAGCGGGTAAAGCCACCGCCCGCAGCGCCCGCATCCACATGGGCGCCGGTTCGAGTCCCGGCTGCTCCACTTCCAGTGCCGCTCTCTGCTGTGGTCTGGGAAGGCAGCAGAAGAGGGCCCAAATCCTTGGGCCCCTGCACCCATGCAGGACACCCCCTGGAGGCTTTTTTAGACAATTGTATTAGAGTTTTCATTATTGTGTTCAGTTTCGTAATAAGATTATTTGCTTTTATATCATATATGATTGTTTTCAGTTTGATGGTGTGGTGATGTTTCACTCCACTTTTTAAGACTGTGTTGGTCATATAAACAGCAAGGGTTGACTATGTGTGTACAACTTAATTAAGTTGGATTCAGTGGTGAAGTATGACACTTTTTTTATTACATGAATATGTTACATTTTGAGAAGTTATGATGAAATTCTGTGTGTAGTGATTTTATTTTTTTAAAAATGTAATGGAATGAATTAGCATCATTTTCCGATGATAAATTCAGAAAATATTGTTTATAGTTAAATTATTTTTAAAAAGAGAAGCGGGAGAGAGAACATGTGTACCTGCACATATTCCAAAACTTTAGATGGGTTGCTAAAACCAACTTTTAGCTATGAATTTCAAGGTAAAATAAATCATTACATATTAAAGCAATCCTAAATCTATTTTTTCAGTTACTAGCAATCATCTCATATTGTGCCTTCAGGTGAAATGATCAAATAATAACTATCTTTCAGATTTTATTCCCTCGCATTTCTGGTATTCACTAGATGATACACACTGTTTTACAGATATGATAATTAAGTCTATTTTTAGTTTTATAATCTGAGTATCATATTTCCTGTTACGCTTTTATTGTTTATGTAATTAATCCGATAAAATTCTTAAATTTTTGTTTAATATGTCTGCATTTCTTTTTTGTTACTCTTGCATCTGATTTACCCAAACGTGGAATATGCACCTGTGTTTTAATGGAAATGAGAGAAAATGTTCAATGTTGATGTTTGTTACAGTCTCAGAAACTAACAGGTTCACTGACAGACTATCAGAGGACAAATAGATGACATCTGAAATAATATATTGGAAATCTATTTGGTATTTTATCCATGATCTCATGAAGTTTTAGAAGCTAAATTAAATGCACACATACCCTCTCCCCTCACACACAAACATATCTGTTAGGGTTTTCCTAAAAGAAATGATTCATAGAGGGAGCTTGTATGAACACTGGAATCTTTTTTTTAATTATCTATTTGTTTATTTCACAAGCAAGGAGGGAGGGAGGGAGAAGAGAAAGAGAGAGAGAGAGAGAGAGAGAGAGAGAGAGAGAGAGAGAGAGAGAGAAGCTATTTTCCATCTACTGGTTCACTCCCCAAATGGCCACACTGGCCAGGGAAGGTGCAAGGACAAGCCAGGAGCCCAGAACTCCATCCAGGTCTCTCACTTGGGTGGCAGGAACCCATTACTTAGAGCATTATCCTCAGTCTTCCTAGGCGCATTGGTAGGAATCTGAATTGATAGCAGGGCAGCCAGGACTTTGCACCAGCAGCCAGGAGTGGAACCGGCATTCTGATGCAGAATGCCAGTGTCCCAAGTGGTGGCTTAACCCATTGTGCCACAATGCTGACCCCAAACACCAGATATTCTACATCTTGTGATTCTAACACAAGTGATTTAATGTGGGGATGGCAGTTGTCAATGTAGTATGAAATGCTTGGAGTGTTCACTTCATCTAATGTATTTCCCTTTACTTTATTGGCTGCTCAAGTAAGACACACTATTGATAGGACAAAATGTATGATCAAAGACTTATTGGCTATTTGATATATTTTAAAATAATATTGGGAAATGATTTTTAATATGAATAAAAAAGAAACTGACACATGGGATTATGTTAAATGAAACGGCTCCTGGACAGCTATGGAAATACCCAACAGAATGAAGAGATGACATATGAAATGGGAGGTAGTTTTTTTTTTTTATTTGACAGAGGTAGACAGTGAGAGAGAGAGAGAGAAGGTCTTCCTTCCGTTGGTTCACTCCCCAAATGGCCGCAACAGCAGGAGCTATGCTGATCTGAAGCCAGGAGCCAGGAGTTTCTTCTAGGTCTCCCATGCAGGTGCAGGGGCCCAAGCACTAGGGCCATCTTCTACTGCTTTCCCATGCCAAAGCAGAGAAATGGAGCGGCTAGGTCTTGAACAAGCGCCCATATGGGATGCTGGCACTGCAGGCTAGGGCGTTAACCTGCTGTACCACAGCGCTGGTCCCCTGAATTTTTTCTATCAAGGTTTCAATGTGTTTATCTCAAGGTAATTTAAAATTCCAAGTTGTCAGTGACATATTTTTTTTCCCATGGGAGGAAGTTGTATGTTAATATAATTTCAAAATTATGGAAACATCATATAAATAATAAATAAGAAAGAATTCCCAATAACCTTTGCTCATATTCATCATTTGATAACTTTTCTCCTTATATTTTAGTATTTCCACATCCTTGCTTACCCCCTTAGTCCTATCTCTTTTTATTTTTGTACACACACACATACACACACACATGCACACGTGTCATTTGAGAATACATACATTGAGAGTAAATTACAGTCATCTAAGTATTTGCTTTTGTCCCTAAATACTTCTTTCTCAATTATTAAGGACAAAAAATTTCTTTGTGTACCATAGCATGATGATCTACATCAGGAAATTGAATCTTATGCAATGCTGCTTTGTACCCGCAACCTGTGTTGACATTTGGCCAGTTGTCCTACTATCCTACTATTGCCATTTTATGGCTGTTTTTGTTCTCTAGTGAGGATCTAATTAGAGATCCTACATAGTTTTCAGTGGTAATGTTTCTATTCTACTTTAACTTGAGAAAGCTCTAAGATTTTCCTTGTTTTATGACTTTCACATCGTGAAGACACAGGCAAGTTGCTTCACAAATATTTGAAATATATGTCTGTCTCAGGGTTTGTCCTAATTACACCAAAGTTAAATGCTTCTGTCAGGAATTTGAGAGAAGTTTTCTTCACACCACACCATACCAGGGCTTGTGTTTTCAGTTTGTCTCATTACCGTGATGTTACACTTGGCCACATGGTGGTTTTTGCCAATTTCTTCATGGTCAAGTGATTATTTTTGCTTTTCTAACTTTTATCAAATGAATGTGCTTTGGCTGCCTGTGTGCATCTGAAAGCCACACACGAAGGCCGTGATCTTTTGTGGGCAGCCAATTCATCATGAAACAGCTGGTGGGGAGCCAGGAACAATGCTGCCATCTGACTCCAACAGCACCTTTTGCAAGTGACATTTATAAGAAGGGAAGGAGGGGCGGGAATCAGACGCTGGAGTTGATGGGTCATCCAGGAAGCGGTGTGACTGGTCAGCCAAGCAAGGGTGTTGTCTTTCTGAGATGCAGGGCAGCTCCATGCCTTTTCTTACACTGTGTGTTCCAAAAGTGATGGTTTTGGGAGGTGGATGTTTTTGGCTCGAAACATCATAAATTCACCTGCTGTTTGCCATCGCATGGTCCTGAAGGGTTTTAGCCTTGATGGGGGCAATTTCAACAAAATTTCTTGTTCTGTGAGGTAAGTACTAAGCTTTTCAGTTAGATCTTTGCTTCCTAACTGTGTAGGGTGTGATTTCATACTCAATAAGCTGCTCGTGTGGATATTAGTATAAAACCGTATGCACACAATTCTCCATCAGTTATCCCCAGCTCTATCTGCTATTGATGATTCTTTGTTGACACAATTACCATCAAGACCAAACTATCATTTAATAACTACGTCATTCACTCAGTTGGCCTTCTATAGGAGCCTCCCTGGGGTGTCCTGCATGGGTGCAGGGGCCCAAGGATTTGGGCCCTCTTCTGCTGCCTTCCCAGACCACAGCAGAGAGCGGCACTGGAAGTGGAGCAGCCAGGACTCGAACCGGCGCCCATGTGGACGCGGGCGCTGCAGGCGGTGGCTTTTCCCGCTCCCCCACAGCCAGGAGGCAAGAACTCCATTCAGGACTCCCAGGAGGGAAGGAGGCAGGATCCAAGTACCTGGGCCATCAGCGGCTGCCTCCCTGGTTCCCAACCTGGAGTAGCGGGACTGGAATCGGCTCTTGGGTGCCCCACACTGGACGTAGCAGCATGCAGATCCGTCCCATGGCGGCCGCCTGTGGGGAGTGAATTTGCGCCCTGCACTGTGACCAGGAATTGTACCCGTAGGTACATCTCCTGCTCAGCCATCCTCAGATGGAAGTCTGCTTCTCATCTGTTCCTGCCCAAAAGCCTGTTCAAGCCTTGAGGAGCCGTCCTCGATGCTGCTGGCGGAGCCTGAGTGAGACCCAGTGCCTCCGGGGTCAGGCCTGAATCAGAGACACTGCAGTCCGAGACAGCTGCATCAGTTACCTTGCCCTTCTGGAAATTTTTAGGCACGGTCCACTTCTTCGGCAGCTTCCGAAAGACTACCACACCTCCTTGCCTCCTGGGCACCCTGAATGGAGGTCAAGCCTCCTGGCTTCTGCCTGGCCCGGCGCTGGCCGTTGAAGCCGCTTGGGGAGAGAAGCAGAGCACCAGGCATCGCGAGCCCTCTTGCCTCTTGCTCTCTCTCACGGATCGTCCATCTGGGGGTTCAACCCCCAGGTGGCTACTAAGGCCGGGGCTGGCCCAGGCCGAAGCAGAAGCCGGGGACTGTATCCGGTGCTCTACTGTGGGTTCAGGGGCCTGAGTCCTTGGGCCGTCTCCCTCTGCTTTCCCAGGCATGTCAGCAGACAGCTGGATCCCACGGGGAAAGGCTCCCAGGAGGGGCCGGTGCTGTGGGGGAGTGGGTAAAGCCACTGCCCGCAGCACCTGCAGCCACATGGGCACCGGTTCGAGTCCCAGCTGCTCCACTTCCAGTGCAGCTCTCTGCTGTGGTCTGGGAATGCAGTAGAAGAGGGGCCAAGGTTGGGCCCCTGCACCCATGCAGGAGACCCCGGGGGAGGCTCCTGGCTCCTGGCTTCAGATCTGCTCAGGCCCGCCCATTGCAGCCAATTGGGTAGCAGACCAGCAGATGGAAGACCTCTCGATCTTGATATTCTCTCTCTCTCTCTCTCTCTGAATTTCAAATAAATAAGATCTTCACAAAAAATAAAAAATTAAGAAAAGGAAGACATAGCTATAAATAAAATACTACATCAAGGCCAACTACTACAATTCATTTAGAATTTTATATTCTATGCATTACCCTACCCTATTAACACAGAATTTGAAAAGAAATTTAACTCACTCTTAGAAAAGGTGTTGGTACCCATTCTTTCTCTTCTGCCTTAGAAACGTTCCGTGTGGTATTATCTATGACTTACGTATGAGGAAATCAATGTAGTTTATTCATTCAGACACTTGGGTACCCACTCGCACAGGGATTTGAGACACCTGTGATCTACAGAGTTCTCCACTGAACACAGGTCTGCTCCCCAACCTCCGCCCTCCACAGTCTAGGCCTGCATTTAACGGATGGAGCATGCTTGAACTAGGACAAACTGTGTCTTCTACAGAGCACGATAGAATACGTAAAGGTAGCGTCTGAGGTCCCTCTTGGCATTTTCTACGTGCACGTTATCACGTTGGTACTTTTTCTCTCCTTTTTCAATGTTAGATACAAATTGGGAGGGAGGAAGTCAAACTATGCCTATTGGCAGATGACATGATTCTATATAGTAAGTAATGTCACTTAAGATGAGTCATTCTCATTTCCATCAGGGTGTGTGAGATAGTACTTTTCTTTATCCCAAGAAAATAGATTCACAAAATCAGTAAAAATTATTTACCGCACAAAGAGTCCTTTTCCTTTCAAAGTTCATTAATTGGGACTTTTGCAGTATAGAACATAAAATTACATTTTATATTCCTTTTTTTATTTTAAAACATTATTTTATTTTTCATTCAGTATAATATTTTTTTTTTTTTGACAGGCAGAGTGGACAGTGAGAGAGAGACAGAGAGAAAGGTCTTCCTTTGCCGTTGGTTCACTCTCCAATGGCCGCCACGGCCGGTGCCCCGCGCTGATCCGATGGCAAGAGCCAGGTACTTATCCTGGTCTCCCATGGGGTGCAGGGCCCAAGGACTTGGGCCATCCTCCACTGCACTCCCAGGCCACAGCAGAGAGCTGGCCTGGAAGAGGGGCAACCGGGCCAGAATCCGGCGCCCCGACCGGGACTAGAACCCAGTGTGCCGGCGCCGCAAGGTGGAGATTAGCCTAGTGAGCTGCGGCGCCGGCCTCATTCAGTATAATATTGTTTGAGCTTTTTTGCTCTCTCTATGTAATGTGGATGAATATTTGTTTTTATATTCTAGTGGATATACAGTTTTTGGGGAAATATGCTATTATTGAATGAGTGATTTTTGGACCACAACAAAATCATTCGCAAAGTTCAAGATGGTAATCTTGAAGTCAATTAAATAAAAAGCATAGTTGATATGCTTATAAAATTTTCTTATAAATATACTTTTTTAAAAATGAAAACAAGGTTATATTTACTAATGTACTTTGAAAGCATCACTTTAGGATACAAATGGAATTAAGTACTTGGTAATATCCACAAACTAATGAAAATTTATTGATTCATCTATATAACTAAGTAAAGTGCAGTATCACTACACTCCCCCAAGAAGTAAATTCAGTATATACTATATACAAAAAAAAAAGTCCACACCAAAAATTAAAAAAACAACCAAACCATATTGTCAAGCAAAATATTTTTAATTAATAGGCTGATCATAAATAAATCCTCATAAAAGATTTAGCAGAATTACAAAGAGTTTGTGTCCCATTTGTGGACTCAATGCAGAATATGCATTGGTCAATCACATTCTCTAACCGTGACAAAAAGAGATGTCATCCAACAACCCAGAGCAGTATAAGCAATTCCTGTTCTGTAGCTACATTTTTATACTTTCTTTACAAATGTAACAGTTATGTACATTATACATATATACATATGCTTCTCTATAGTTCGTGTTCTGAAACTATTGTTTTTACAGGGAAAATGCTGAATTTATTTAATGAATAGGAATCATTCCTTGTTAAAAAGTAATTCATATAAACAAATAACATGGTACCTGCTGCCTTTTTGGAATCTTTTGTCAGAATTCACGCCAAAAATGTTATATTAATAGTAAGACAAAAGAATTTATCTAATTTTATATTAGGACATATCATTCCACACAGTTGTATCAATTTGCCCGTTGGCAACAAAGAGAACACTATACTGCTGCACTACTGGAAATGTATAGAAACCAATTCAAAACATACTGGGCAAAACGGCGTCATCCCTACCATTATTTCAGGCTGAAGAAAATCTGTCAAGTTCTCTTTTCGCCTTTATCTTTTGCCACGACCTCAGAGTACAGTGCATTGAATCATGTAACAGCAAGCTCCTGCATTCCACATTTCTTGTGTGCTTCGTCAACAGATAATGCTTTACCTAGATAATAAACCTTTTTCTTATTCCATTTTATTCTACTTCACTTACAAATTTGCTGCTGAACGTGAAGCAAAAATTCATAATAAGAGAATGCAGCTTCTGTCTGGTCTTCAATCAAATGCAGAAAAAATTCTGTTTTGGCAGGACTCTCATCTCTGAAACAGAAAAGGACATTTGTAGGCCGGCGCTGCAGCTCAACAGGCTAATCCTCTGCCTAGCGGCGCCAGCACACCGGGTTCTAGTCCCAGTCAGGGCACCGGATTCTGTCCCGGTTGCCCCTCTTCCAGGCCAGCTCTCTGCTGTGGCCTGGGAGTGCAGTGGAGGATGGCCCCTGCACCCCATGGGAGACCAGGATAAGCACCTGGCTCCTGCCTTTGGATCAGCACAGTGCACTGGCCGCAGTGACCATTGGAGGGTGAACCAACGGCAAAGGAAGACCTTTCTCTCTGTCTCTCTCTCACTATCCACTCTGCCTGTCAAAACACAAAAAACAAAAACAAAAAAACAGAAAAGGACATTTGTCTAAAAGTGCATGTTGTTAAAAAGAATAATTATTCATTAACAAAGCTGTTAATAAGTGGAGACTATAGAAAATGGAACACAGGAGATATTAATCAAGGAGCAATATTCTACCACCAGAATCTATTTTGACATTATTTAAAGTATGCTTAAAAGACATGTTATTTCACATATATTGCACAGGAAGAGATAACTTCATAATTCAGTCACATAAGTTCTTACTTCACCACATGAAGGACTGGGCTTAGTGGTCTGTTGTCTCTTAGCCAAGTTATAAAAGATCTGGTTCTTTCTGATGAAAGTGTATCTAGTTCTGGAAGATGTGTCTGGGAAAAAATATAATTAGGAAACTATTTCCTATTCAGTACTCATCACCAGTATTAAAACTAAATCTTAGTGTTCAGTACCACCAACTGCAGCACTCTATTCCCCAGCCCCAAGAGTAGCAATCAAATAAATGAAATTTAAATTGTTGACAAATCTGTTTATATGAGCATACTTTGAATTTAATTAGCTTACTGATAAGCTGACCTTGAAAAAGAAAAAAAAACCTTGTAATTTTTATGTACTTATGAAAAGAATAGACTTTTAGGTCTTTCTAAAATAGCCTTGCATATAGTTGCAAAATACTCATTGGAATGTAAATAAAATTAAAATTAAAAAGATAGATTAATTGTATTTGTAATCCTTGTCAATAGGAAAAAATGTCTATTTTCATGGGAATTTTTTCAACTTTTTTTTTTAAATAAACATTTAAAAATCACATACACAAGCATATTTTTTGGGAAAAAAAAAACCAGCGACCAGAAAAGCATTGTAGTGCAGCAGTTAAGGCCACCACACCATTATCAGCATTCTAGTATCACCTGCTCCTCTTCCAATCCAGCTTCCTGGTAATGTGCCTGAGAAGGCAACTGCAGATGGTCCAAGTGCTTGAGTCTCAGCTACCCAAAGGGAGACCCAGATGGAGTCAGAGACTCTTAGCTTTGGCTTGGTCCAGTACCGGCTACTGAAGCCATTTGGGAATGAGCCAACAAATGGAAGATCTCTCTATCTGTTTCCCCCAACCCCTGTTCCCCTCTTTCTGTCACTTTGCCTTTCAAATAAATAAATCTTTTCCTCCCTCAAGGTGTACTTCAAATATTTTGTGGAAGAATGGAATCAAAATAATAGTTTATTCTGGTGAAAAGTTTTGAAATCCATGAATATGAGAGAGCTTCAAAAAAAGTTCATGAAAATGCCTACTATGAAAAAAACCTGCAGGAATTTCAAATTGTTTTACTCCAAAACACATTTACCTGTGCATCTCATTTTCTATGAACTTTCTGAAGAAGCCCCATACAAATGGGATCATACTATGCACTTTTGTATCATGTCAGACTGTAATCTTTTTCTTATGTGTATAAATATTACTACTGTAATTCTATGGGCATCCATGCATACATCTATGAAAACAGCTATGGGATACATTGCTAGGAGTAAAATAATTAACTGTGTCACAGCATTTGATTTTGAATTTTAACACTGTTAAATGGCACTTCCAAAAGGTTTGCATAAATGGACACTACAGTGACTGATGCCTTGTACCCTCTATGTGATTGCCCATCACCAAATTTTAAACTCTGTCAATCTGGTATATGAAAGAAATGCTCTGTGGTTATTTTATCTCGTTTTCCTGAACTATGAGTGAGGCTGATCTTATTCCACACGGCCAATATTATGTTCTCCTATGGATTGCATGTTCAAAATCCTATGTCCATTTTTCTTCTTTTTCCCTTAGGGATCACAGGGTGTCTCTCTTAGAGATTTGTAATGTACTTTTTATATTAGAGAAGATAGCTCTTTTCCAGTCTTATAGATTATAGATAATTTTATAATTTTGTTGTCTATCTTTGGGCTTTATTTTTACCAAGTATAAACATTTTATTTCTATGCTCTTGGGTTTATTAATCTTTTCAATTACTAACTTACAAAAGCTTTACCTGTTTCTATATTATATAAATAATTGTAATAAATGCAGTGACTTGTAATGGTTTGCTGTTTCATGTTTAAACACCTGATTCATTTGAAAGTTATTTGATGTACAGAACAAGATAAATATCCAGCTTTGTTTTCTTCCCAGTGTCTAATCCATAGTCCCATCATTTTCTTTCTAATTCCATTTCCTCCGGAGTGACTTGAAATGCAGTCTTTACCACATTTTGTTTTTCATGAACTGGATCCATTTCTGAAACCTATTTAGTTTTACTGACTGACCTGTATGTTGTACCCATATCATAGTACATTTAACTACAACTTTACAATAAGAGTTCTTATTTTATTTAGTAGAATGTATTTTTCATAGTTTTCCTTTGTGTGGACACCAGCCTCCCTTTTCAAATGTTTCCTTGTTCTTATCTGTTGAGTCTTAATAAGGAACTCTGGCATTCACTTGCCAACTTAGAAACAAACAACTAAGATTACATCGAATTTATATTAACTTTGGGAAAAAGAGGAAGTCTACAATATACAAGAATAAGGTAGGCCTTTTTTTTGCAATTAATTGAATATATAGAACTGCTTTCAGAATCGTATTTCTTTGGTATTAGTTAACACATATTTGGTAAAAGGCAACTGGAAAAGCTGTAAGAAAAATAATCTAAGTCAAAAACTATGGTTGCTTTCCTCTTTTCCTGGGGCCAGTGCTGTGGTGCAGAGGGTTAATGCCCTGGCCTGAGGGTCCGGCATCCCATATGGGTGCTGATTTGAGACCCAGCTGTTCCACTTGGGCCCCTGCACCTGTGTGGGAGACCCAGAAGCAGCTCCTGGCTCCTGGCTTTGGATCAGCGCAGCTCCAGCTGTTGTAGCCAATTGAGGAGTGAACCAGCAGATGGAAGACCTCTCTCTCTGCCTCTCCTCTCTCTGTGTAACTCTGACTTTCAAATAAATAAGTAAATCTTAAAAACAACAACAAAAAAGAACATTAAGCCTTTGTCTTAAAATGTAAACTAAACATGGATTTCAAATTTTTTGCAACAAAATAAACTCCTAATTTAAAAAAACCCCTATGGTTGTTGGAAAATAATTCTATGGTTCATCACAAAGTTAAACGTAGGGTTACCTCATGCCCTAGCAACTCCACTACTGGCTACAAAGCCAAGAGAATTTAAAAAAAAAATATATATATATATAGTTTATATATATATATATATATATATATATAAATTATGTGGTAGCAATAGTCACAACAGCCCCAAAGCAGAAACAAGTGAACATGTCCATAAAAGGATAAACAATAACCAAAATGTGTTATACCCATAAAATAGACTATTTTCAGTCATAAAAATGAATAAAGTAGTAATATGCATGTACTTCAAAAAAGTGTGGAAAATAAAACTGAAAGATTTATTTATTTTGGTGCAAAGCAACTTTGAGATCCATGCATAACTTTTCATTAACTTTTTGAAGACCTTGGTATGCATTGGATCTCAAACTTTTTTGCTATAAAAATAACTTTACATTTTCCATGGGCTTTTTAAAGTACTCCTATATATGCCACCAAATGAGCAAATTTTGATAACATGGGAAACAGTCTAGTGTTGTGCAGTTGGTTAATTTGCTGCTTGCAATGCTGGCATCTAATACCAGAGTGCCAGTCCCAGTCTGAGCTGTTTGGTTTTTAATCCAGCTTCCTGCTAATGTGTCTGGGAAGGCAGCATATGATGGCCCAAGTACTTGGGCCTCTGCCAGCAATGTAGGAGACCCAGATGGAGTTCCTGGTTCCTGGCTTGGCATGTCCCAGCCCAGGCTGATGTGGCCATTTTGGAAGTGAATCAGAGGATGGAAATCTCTGTCTCTCTACCTTTCAAATAAATAAATATTAGGGAAGAAAATGGAGCTGGCACAGCAGCATAGCAGGTAAAGCTGCTGCCTGCAGTGCCGGCATCCCATACGGGCACCAGTTCCGGGACCCAGCTGCTCCATTTTCAATCCAGCGTTCTGCTATGGCCTAGGAAAGCAGTAGAAGATGGCTCAATTGCTTGAGCCCCTGCACCCATATGGAAGACCTGGAAGAAGCTCCTGGATCCTGGCTTTGGATCAGCCCAGCTCCAGCCATTGGGGCCATTTGGGGAGTGAACCAGTGGATGGAAGATCTCTCTCTCTCTCTCTCTCTAACTCTGCCTATCAAAAAAAATAAATCTTAAAAAAAAGAGGGGGAGAGAGAGAGAGAGACATGGGGAGTGAAAGAAGCAAAACAAATAGCCACATATCGTACGCCTTCATTTATATGCCATGCCCAATGGGCAAATCTGTAGATAGAAAGTAGATAGGTATTTCCAGGGCAAGAAGGATCAGGGAGGATTGGGAGATATGGGGTTTCTTTTCTGGGGTGATAGAAGTGTTCTGAAATCAATATAGTGGTGAGAACTGTGTAACTGTATAAATATACTGAAAAACAAAACAAAAACACTGAATTGCACACTTTTAAAACAGATAACATAGTGAACCTTAAATAAATCTTATGTTAATAAAAAAAAAACTAAAACATGCAAACAAAAAGTTAAAGTATAAAAATCCACTGACCATTTTCTGTGGAATTGATGCAAAATTAGGGCACCCCAGTACATCCTCTATGAAGTTATTTTCACAGCCTTTTCCAATCCAAATGTAAAAAACCTACAAACAAGACAACAAAGTATCAAAAATCCCCTAATATTTAAGAAAACCGGCCGGCGCCGCGGCTCACTAGGCTAATCCTCCGCCTTGCGGCACCGGCACACTGGGTTCTAGTCCCAGTTGGGGCGCCGGATTCTGTCCCGGTTGCCCCTCTTCCAGGCCAGCTCTCTGCTGTGGCCAGGGGGTGCAGTGGAGGATGGCCCAAGTGCTTGGGCCCTGCACCCCATGGGAGACCAGGATAAGTACATGGCTCCTGCCTTCTGATCAGCGCGCCGGCCGTGGCGGCCATTGGAGGGTGAACCAACGGCAAAGGAAGACCTTTCTCTGTCTCTCTCTCACTGTCCACTCTGCCTGTCAAAAAAAAAAAAAAAAAAAAAAAAAAACCATAAATAGCTAATTTTCTCAAACTAATCATGCATAAGAAAAGTATACGATCTCAAAGTAGGCACAACATAAAAGTAACATGGAAACTGTACTTAGTTCATTATGAATGTGCATCCAAGGATCTAGAGTGGTTTCTATTGTTTTTGCTTCAATTTTAAGGATTCCCAGAAAATTTATTATAACTTCCTCCTCCCCTACCGGTGAGGTCATGGTCCCTCCAACAACTGACTCTCCCCTTCGGTCTGCTGCTGCCCCAGTCGGGAGCCAAGGAAAGGCCCCAGGCCTATCAATAAAACGAGCAGTAAGCCAATGACGGGCACCTTCCCGGAACCTCACCCACGTAAGACAGGAGTCCTTGGGGACTGGCAAGGATATCCAATGATGGGTAAGAGGTGCTGGAGCTCCGGGTTGATTCCTAAGACAGGCACTGCTCGTTCATCACATTTGGCCTAACTGGCAGCCATTTCTGTTTAATTGATAAGAAAGGGGGATATGTCGGGGAGCACGCAGCATGTGGCCTCTTAGTAGAAAGACAGGACTAGACAGCCCAGACCAGATAATACTGATAGCCCAACCTTGTGTGACCTTATGCCTTAAGACCTTGTAACCTTTCCCCTACTTGCACAAGCATTGCAGCTACAAGATAAGCTCTCCCTCCTTCCCCCACCCGACGTCTTGCCCTCCTAAACGCCCCTCCTTCCCCCGCCCGACACCCAGCCTTTATGATATATAAGTGTGTGCTTGAAAAATAAAAATCGCAGCTTGATCAGGACTTGTCTTGCTGCCATCTTTGTGTCTCCTGTCCCTTTCATTTCTCCTTCTAGGTGCTTGGCCCCAGTTGCTGTCCTGCGGGACGGGACAATAATCAAGATGATTGACTCACTCTATTTCCCAGTCATTCTTTCAATTGTTGCATGCCATCCTTGTGTGGTGATGCAAATCCTTTGGCTGCTCTGTCTCGAAGCCATCTTGACCACTCCGACACCCTTCATCACTACCCGTGCCCTGTGACTTGTCCTAAACTCCTGAACTCCAATCATTAACAGGACTTTCTCGCTCAAGTTATAATCTCTTGAAGTTCCTGTGAATTTTATGACTCTACATGGTAGCAACCTTGAAGACAGGAATTTAACTTTGTAACACTTCTCTGCATACATGTAATCCAGGACACTGAGCACTCCATTTTAATGAGATTTATTTATTTATGATAATATGATGTGCATCTGGGAAAATCTAAAGTTAAATAATCTCTTGTGCCAGTTACTTAGTGCCTCTCAATTCCTAATCCAACTTTCACGGTCAGCTCTGTGGTCACAGAGCTGGATTTTATGTTTCTCTTTTTGCCAGGTGGAACAGTGTTGAGCTTTGTTAATAGGGTGCTTACAGAGCCACAGTCCATGAGGAAAGCACCTTCTCTGCAGACAGTTTTTGAAGAGGTGGCTGAGGTACAACCCTGTCATTAACATGAATTGCACCCTGAAAGAAAAATAACAATGTGAATGCGTTTACATTACTATCAATAGTTTGTGTGCTAATGCCCACTAACTCTCTTTATTAAATATGGGAACATGCTACTTGAGAACTTGATGGCATGCAAAAATATTATACATTACCACATTGGCTCAAACATACTCAACCTAAAAAAGTAAAAGCATGAGTATATAAAATGATCTGTTATTTATTTCCTTCCTTTTTGGGGTATAATGTATCCCCTTTTGGGGAAGTAGTAATATAATTGCTGAATTAGAAATATGAATAATACTCTGCTGCATATCAAATTGCTTCTTACGTTTATCTAGTAACAAAAGGCTATGTTTGAAGTTAATACTAATTTCAAAGAATATAGTTTTAACCCAAGGAAGAAAAAAGACACTACATGTTTGTACCTGAAAAGTATTATTGGATACCGGATTTTTTACTTTAAAATCAAAATTACAATCTGATGTCAGACAATCATTATCTACAAAATATAAATGGAAATTAACACTCTACAACTTAGGTGTGTAATAAGTATTAAAACCAAACCCACAAAATAAATTATTTCCCAAATGAAACTATTTTTGAAACCTCAGTAACTATTGATATTACCAGAGAGTGTTATCAGCCAATCAGATCCATAGCTAGTGTCCTTACTTAATACATTACTACCGTGGAGGGGACAGGAATAGAAAAAACTATTGAAAATAAATTATTATTACCTTTGCTGTAAAACAGAGATACTCGAACACGTTCAAATTTTTCAAATGCACACTGAAATGCATACCTCATCTGTCAATCTGTCTATCCTGTATAAGTTGGGATGAATCATTTTCATTAGATGAACAAGTGGCTGAGACTTTATCTGACACATGGCATACACACGATCATCTAGGCGTGTGCTTGTACATGTTCTAAAGGCTTTCTGCAAGGAAAAAGACATGTTTTCAAGTAAAACAAAAACATAGTGGGAAAATATTAAAATAAGTACCATTAATCATGGGAAAAGCATGTCCTTCACATCAGACAGACTTGGATACTATTCTTAGCTCTGAAATCATCAGAAGAACAAGATAATAATGCTCACCTCTCTAGGCGGCTGTAAGGATTAACTAAGAGTATCTATTAAAAGTGCCCGAGACAAAAGAAGGATGCTCTGTAAATGTTAGATCCTTTTCTTAGTGCCTCTCTCCAGAAGCAAATGGCACAAGTGGGTTATGATGGCTCACTTGGCTAATCCTCCACCCATGGTGCTGGCACCCCGGGTTCTAGTCCTGGTTGGGGCGCCAGGTACTAGTCCCAGTTGCTCCTCTTCCAGTCCAGCTCTCTGCTGTGGCACAGGAGGGCAGCGGAGGATGGCCCAAGTGCTTGGGTCCCTGCACCCGCATGGGAGACCGGGAGGAAGCACCCGGCTCCAGGCTTTGGATCGGCACAGCACCGGCTATAGTGGCACGGCCATTAGGGGAGTGAACCAACGGAAGGAAAACCTTTCTCTCTGTCTCTCTCTCACTGTCTATAACACACACACACACTCTCTCTTTCTCTCACTGTCTTACTCTGCCTGTCAAAAAATAAAAAAATAAAAAAAAACACAAGTGGGTATGACCGTAACATTATTCAAACTGCTCACACATGTTAAAGAGGCAGAGGATATGGTTTCACGAGGTCACTGTATACCCATATACAATCATTTTCCACTGAATTTTTTGGCTACTCTTCAAAACTTCCAATGCTAAAGTCCATTATCCTTTAGTATTAAAAAATAGCAATACAGATTTTATTTAACATATGTATCTGAGACAGAAAATCTTTATCAAATATAACAGAGCTACCTGTTTGAGAAGTACCAAAACATAGAGTGGAAACAATTTGAGGAAGTTGGGTGCAATCAGTGCAGAGTGCTGAAAATTTGAAACAATTGAGCCATATGCAGACAATGAATCCACTACTGCATTCACTAAGGCGTCTCTTGCATCTGACAGACTTGATGACACTGATCGATCCACAGCTGTAAAGGAATGAAAATGGACAAAGGTTTAAATATCACATTCCAATAAGCTCTGTAAAAGACAGAATATGCATTATTTAATAAGTCGTCTGCTCCCTCATTTGAAGTATTATTTTATTTATTTGAAAGTCAGAGTTACACAGAAAGAGGAGAGGCAGAGAGAGAAAGAAGTCTTCCATTCCTGATTCACTCCCCAAATGACCACAATGGCCAAAGCTGAGCTTATCCGAAGCCAGGAGCCAGGAGCTTCCTCCTGGTCTCCCACCTGGATGCAGCGGCTCAAGGGCTTGGGCCACCTTCTACTGCTTTCCCAGGCCATAGCAGAGAGCTGGATCAGAACAGGAGCAGCCAGGACTCAAACCGGCACCCATATGGAATGCCGGCGCTGCAGACTGCGGCTTTAACCCACTGTGTCACAGTGCTGGCCCCATTTTTCTAAACCAAATCTGAGTAAATCTGAAAATCACAGTAAGTTTAGATTCTTTCGGAGTCTTTTTGATTTAATCTGTTAAGCATAAAACCAGTTAGCCACTATTCATATTAAGGGTAGATTCATATACTTCTGAGAAAGCCCTGGGGATGTTTCTATTACTCAAATGGAAATCACATGTATAATAAATACATCATTGAATAATCACAATCAATGTACATTCTCCAACCTAAGTTATCCCTTGTGATTCTCTAAATTTTCTTTACAAAGCAATCCAGATCAACAAATAAAACATGAGAACATGGGGCTGACATTGTGGTATCACAAGTAAAGCCATCATTTGCAGTCCTGGAATTCTATATAAAAGTGCCAGTTCAAGTCCTGGATTTGCCACTTCTGATCTAGCTTCCTGCCTATGTGCCTTGAAAAGCACAGGAAGATGACCCAAGTATTTGGGCCTCTGCCAACCACATAGGAGACCAGGGTGGAGTTCTGGCTTCTGGTTGCCACCTGGCCCACACCTGGCTTTTGCAGCCATTTAAAGAGAGATTAAGTGGATGCAGCATCTCTTTGTCTGCCTCTCCCTCTCCATCTGTTCCTCGGCCAAAGAAATCAAAACCAATTAAAAAAAAAAAAAGAGCAAACTGAAGAACACAGGTTTTCATGCAGTCATTGAAGAAATAGGTATCAATGGGAAAATTATTTTTCTCTAAAATCCTCTTATTAAAACAGAGACAATCTATATAAAAATCCAGTACTAAAATAATCAGTTATGGTATAATTCAAAATCTAGATTTAATTGCTGTTTTTCTCCAGGACTACTTGGGAAAAAATTTTACTTCGTTCATGTCTAAATTCATATATAAGGTAAATTCATTAAAAACAAAACACTCAGTGTTGTTAAGTATTAACTTTCCAAAGGATTTTTCTATCTTGCATATAGTGACACGTTTTTGACTACAGTTCCATGGTGGTTATACGTAAAATGCATAGCCATGTAATTACTACCATCAAGATACACAACAGTTTCATCACCCCAAAAATATCCCTCTGTAGTGCCTCTTCACAGCAAAACCCTCCCCATGTCCCCAACCCTGGAAATCACTAACATAATCTCCGTCCAATCGTCTCGTTTCCTGAATGTTAGATAAATGGTATCATATATACATAGTCCTTGGAGAGTACTGCTTCTTTACACTTAGCACAATGCCTTTGAGAGTCATCCATGTTTAGATATTGATAGTTCATTCTTGTTTTAAAAAATATTGCTTGAGGTGGGTGCTGCGGCTCACTTGGCTAATTCTCCACCTGCTGCAGCGCCAGCACCCTGGGTTCTAGTCCCGGTTGGGGTGCCGGATTCTGTCCCGGTTGCTCCTCTTCCAGCCCAGCTCTCTGCTGTGGCCCAGGAGGGCAGTGGAGAATGGCCCAGGTGGTTGCACCCTGCACCTGCATAGGAGGCCAGGAGGAAGCACCTGGCTCCTGGCTTTGGTTCGGCCCAGTGCGCCGGCCATAGCGGCCATTTGGGGGATGAACCAACGGAAAAAGGAAGACCTTTCTCTCTGTCTCTCTGTCTCTGTCTCTCTCTCACTGTCTTACTCTGCCTGTCAAAAAATAAAAATAAAAATATTGCTTGAGGGGCTGGCACTGTGGCACAACAAGCTAAGCTGCTGCCTACAGTGCCAACGTCCAATACTGGAGTGCTGGTTTCAGTCCTGACTGCTCTGCTTCCCTGCAGCTACCTACTAATGTGCCTGGGAAATAAAGCAGCAGCAGATGACCCAGGTACTTGGACTCCTACTACCCATGTGGCAGATCTGGAAGTAGCTTTGGGCTCCTGGCTTCAGTGCAGACCAGCCCTGGCTGTGGTGGCCATTTGGGAAGTAAAACAGCAGATGGATGATCTCCTGCTCAGTCTCTCTGCCTCTGTCACTCTCCCCTTCAAATAAATAAATCTAATAATGAATTAATTAAATAAATGTATTAGTAACAGGCGAAAAACAGAGACAAAGAGCTCCCATATGCTGCTTTACTCTGCAAATGCACACAGCAGACAGGGTGGGCCAGGGCCCAAGCAGGAGCCAGAAACTCACTGAGTCTTCCACCTAAGTGGCAGGTACGCAATGACTTAGGCCATCACTGCTGCCTCCCAGCATCTGTATTAGCAGGCAGGCAGAGTCAGAAACTGGAGCCAGGTGTTCCAATGTGGGATGCAGGCGGTTTTTTTTTTTTTTTTTTTTGACAGGCAGAGTGGACAGTGAGAGAGACAGAGAGAAAGGTCTTCCTTTGCCGTTGGTTCACCCTCCAATGGCCGCCACGGCTGGCACGCTGCCACCGGCACACCGCGCTGATCCAATGGCAGGAGCCAGGTGCTTCTCCTGGTCTCCCATGGGGTGCAGGGCCCAAGCACTTGGGCCATCCTCCACTGCATTCCCTGGCTACAGCAGAGAGCTGGCCTGGAAGAGGGGCAACTGGGACAGAATCCGGTGCCCCAATTGGGACTAGAACCTGGTGTGCTGGTGCTGCAAGGCGGATGATTAGCCTAGTGAGCTGCGGCACCGGCTCAGGATGCAAGCATCTTAACCACAATATCAAATGCTCTTCCCTGGTTCATTTCTTTTCATTGCTGAGTATTCCATTCTATGGCTAAAAAATACTCTCATTAGTTGAGTCCATCAGGTTTTCACCAGTTTTCAATTATTCTGAATCCCCTAAAAGATTTTTACATTAAGAATGAACATAAAATATAAGAACAGTTTAGGGGACTGGTGCCGTGGCATTGTGGGCTAAGCCTTGGCCTGTAGCACTGGTAACCCACAGGGGCACTGTTTCTAGTCTTGGCTGCCCCACTTCCCATCCAGCTCCCTGCTAACAGCCTGGGAAATAAATGGAAGATGGCCCACATGGTTGGGCCCCTGCATCCATGTGGGAGACCAGAAAGAAGCTCCTGGCTCCTGGCTTCAGCTCGACCCAGCTCCAGCAGTTGCAGCCATTTGGGGATTGAACCAGTGGATGGAAGACTTCTCTGTAACTTGGCCTCTCAAATAAATAAATAATTTTTTTTAAAAAAGAGAACAGCTTAATTCATAACATTAAAAGGAAAATGTAAAACATACTTTTTAAATAAGGAGTTTATAGGATGAAAAAATCAGCTGTGTTTCAGTTTTTAGGACAGAAAAATTTATTTCACCTGTTCCGTTATGTTTTACTCACCCATATTTGCTAGAAGGCAGATGGCAGCTTGAACATCCACTCCTGCATATACATCTGCTAGTGAACTTACCACTGGCAAACAAAGCATATGCACTCTAATTCTCTGCTCACCTAAACAAAATGATGAACAGATGCCATTGCACAATATATTAAACCAAGAGAGGGACAAAAAGAACAGATCAAAATTTTACTCAAGTTATTCTGACTAGATGAGTTCACCCACAGGATTTTGAAATGTAAAAAAGTTTACAACTAATATGTTTTAAAGAAAAATGAACTCTCTCAATATCTGAAGACACATGATGAATCTATACTGTATTTCATTTCTAGCTGGGCATTAGGTTCTAGTTTTTATTTTAATTTCATAATAATTATACCCAACAGACATTTTAGACTGTCAAATAGCAGATGAAGACCTGAATTGCTATAGTTTTCTATTTTATAGGGAGCAAGAAATATTGCAAAGGATGGCGCAGCTGGATTTACCACAAGTTTCAACCAGAAATAATTGATCCTAGAGAATGCAAGTCTTCTACAAATGAAAAAAGTATGTTACTAAAGACTCAAAAGTGAGCATTAAGAAAGGACAGAAGAAACTAGCAGAACTTATATTTGATTAATGCAAATGCCATTACTTGGTACTGTGCATTCATTTTTTTCCACACCCGAAAGAGTGTGTGTCTATTCCTGTGCAGGCTATATTTCATTTCTGTTAACATTACCTTTGCTTGATGTATACAATAGGGCTGTTTGAAAGCACACTAAGGAAGTATCTGTCAAACTTTCTTCAATTGACAACTGCACTGCAAACTCAGCATCAGGACTGATGTTGGCAAGGGATAACAAGTCAGTGGCTCGGACAAAGAAGTTTCCATGAAAAGTGTGCATTGAAAGACTTAGGAGGAGAAAGCTCAATATGAAAGAGAAAGTAACAACATTTCACCTAAGCTAAAGTTACTTTTTTAAAAAAAATTATTAGTTTCACTTCAGTTGAAAGGCAGAGATAGAGACAGAAACAGATCTTCCACCTGCTGGTTCACTCCCCATATGCCTGCAATGGCCAGGGTTGGGCCAAGCAGAAGCCAGAAACCCAGAATTCAAATCTGGTAGCCCATATGGGTGTCAGGGATCAAAATACCCGAGCCATGATCTGCTGCCTCCCATAGTGTAAATCAGCAGGAAGCCAGAATCAGAAGTGGAGCTGGAATTCAACCCAGGATTTCCAATACGTGATGCTAGCAACCCAAGTGGCATCTTAACCACGGCTCCAAATACCAGCCCCCTGAAGATTTTTTTAAAAAAGATTTCTTTATTTGAAAGGGAGAGTCAAATACACACACACACACACACACACAGAGAGAGAGAGAGAGAGAGAGAGAGAGAGAGAGAGAAGGACAGAGTCAGAGAGATCTTCTATATGCTGGTTCATTTCCCAAATGGCTGCAATAGTTAGGGCTGGGCCAGGGCAAAGTCAGGAGCCTAGAACTCCATCTGGGTTTCCCACATGAGTGGCAGGGGCCTAAGTACTTGGGCCACCTTCTGCTACTTTCTCAGGAGCATTAGCAGAGAGCTGAAGAGAAGCAGAGCGGTCATGACTCAAACCAGCACTGCGAGACAGAACGCCGGCCTCACGAGCAGCAGCTCGGTTTGCTGTGCCACAACACTGGCTCCTAAATTTACTTTCTAAAGTCAAAGATGCTTCTCACTTTGAACCAAAAGAATCTCAGGAGAGTAAAGTTAGAGTGTAGGCAGAAGGTTCCAAAATACTAATTAAGTTAGTATTATGTTAGTTTACAGGCACTTAGAAAGTCCACCATCTATCTTTTATTGATTAACCACTATATGTTCACAATAAAATGGGAAAAATAAAGCATTAGTAAATTTTTAATATTTGAGTTAATTAGATTTGGGTCTAGCATAGATATCCAGTTACCATTTGAACACCATTTCCATTTGAAAATATTCTTTGAATACCAACTCTGGACACTGGTATCAAGTCTCTTCCCACTATACTGTCAACTTGTTCCCTGACCCCATAGAGAGAGAGAGAGAGGGAGAGATGGAGAGAGAGATTGATTCCAGCAATAGCAGCAATATACACAAGATATTTGCCATGGATATTCAAGCGACAGGTAACATGTAAGTAAGCTGCCACAGTTTTTAATGTATATGAATATCAAAAACTCTCATTCTTTTACTTTTCTTAGACCCAGGACATGTGTTAAATTAAATTAAAATAACGGGAATACATCAATTAAAAGAAAAGAGATTTGCACATTTTGGAAAGCCAGAGCTAAGCAGAACAATATTGCCTGATTATCTACAGTAGTCAACTTTTTCTGTATCAAAATACATTACTTTTTAAAATAATCAAAGAAGGTTGTGGTCTGGCACAGTGGTCAAGTCACTGCTTGGGATACATAAACCCCACATCAGAGGCTCTGTGTTTGAGTTTTGGCTCCACTTCATATACAACTTCCTATAATTTAAATGTTAGAAGATCGCAGATGATGGCTCAAGTAGTTGTGTACCTGGCACCCACGGAGGAGACATGGTTTCAGTTCTAGGCTCCTGGCTTTGGCCTGGCCCAAAACTAGCTATTGTGGGCATCTGGAGAATGAATCAACATAGGGAAGATCTCTGTCTCACGCTGCATTTCAAATAAATAAATAAATAAATAAATAAAAATAATCAAAAAATATGAATCATTATTTCCGATGTAGCACCAGGCACTTAATAGTTACTCTTAGCTTGTAAGATTGTCCAACAAAAACTAGTTCACTGAAACTCATGAAAAATCAAAAAAGGGTCCTGCCACATCACTTGCAAAATATAGCATCACATTGTCACAGTCTCTGAACCACAGGACAGCATTGTGCTATCCTCTGGCTTCTTTTCAAATTAAAAATTCCTCAGAGGCAAGGCTATTTGGCGCATATACAGCATATACAGAACATTAGCTAACAATATCTTCTAGGGCTAAGGCTGATCACAGCCTGGAGTCTGAATTGGCTTTCTTTTTTTCCTACTTTTTTAGTTTATTTTTATTCTTTTACTTTTCATTTCATTTGCAAGATAGTACTTTCAACCGGTATTTTTTTTTTATTTTTTTTTTTTTTATTTTTTGACAGGCAGAGTTAGACAGTGAGAGAGAGAGAGAGACAGAGAGAAAGGTCTTCCTTTTCTATTGGTTCAAACTCCAATGGCCGCTACGGCCGGCACACTGTGCCGATCCAAAGCCAGGAGCCAGGAACTTCCTCCTGGTCTCCCATGCAGGTGCAGGGCCCAAGGACCTGGGCCATCCTCCACTGCAGTCCCGGGCAACAGCAGAGAGCTGGACTGGAAAAGGAGCAACTGGGACAGGACCGGAGCCCCAACCGGGACTAGAACCCAGGGTGCCGGCGCCGCAGGCAGAGGATTAGCCTAGTGAGCTGCAGCGCCGGCCTCAACCAGTATTCTGCACAAAATTTTATGTTGGTTTCAAAGTGTATATTTAATGAAGAAATTTTTAAAAGGAAGCCTGTTTGTAGCACATAATTTTTTAAAATGTTAGATGGTTTGACATAAAAGTTAGCACTAAAATCAAATAGGTTTGAAACTGAGAATTTAAAATGAATATTCAATGGTGAAAAAATTATAATATTTAGTAAATGAAAAGCTAAAACACTAGTTACTTCTACTGTATTTAGAGGAATATTATTATAGTACATATTTAAAAAATCAGTGTAACCAGTTTTTTTTTTTTTAAACAACTGAAATCCCTTTTACAGCTAAGTTTTTTTCACCCCCGCTCCAGAATATTCCTTCAATTTGGAATCAGCAACTGAAAAAGCATTTCCAAAAGCCATGAATACAGAACACCAGGATTCTGGTGAAAACAGCAACAGCACTCTCAGGATTCTGGTGCCTAGTGAAAACAGCACAGTGAGAACACATGCAAGCAGTAGACTCCACAGTGACTGCTGTCCTGTGCCCTTTTAGGTCCTGACTGCTACAGTGCTTTCCATTTTCTCAGAGAAGGAGATACCTTCTTTGTCAGACCTTCTGCAGCAGAGACCTCAGTTTGAATCCCCACTCTGCTAAATTTAGCAGTTTCTGTGATCACAGGTAAATGATATTTCACTTGTGCAGGACACAGTTAATCAGTAAAATGGACTGATTATCTCTGCTTTGCAGGATTGCTGAGAAGGATCAATTGAGCTAAGAACACAATCTCATGTTGGTAATGAGCACTAGTATTTTTCCATGTACCATTTGCTAGACACTATTCTAAATTTATGATGAATATCTTGAACCTTCAAAACAAGTACATAGAATTGTCACTACTATTACTTTCTTCTTACAAAAGAGTAAACTGAGACTCAGTTGAGAAACTTGCCTAAGGGCACAAAGCTGGTAAATGACAAAGTCAGAATTTGAAACAAAACAAAACAAAGAAAGAAGCTAGAAAAACCAACCAAAAACCCAGAGAGACAGCTCTTTTGTGCTTATTGGCACACAGCAGGTGCTCAGGCATGTCAGGAATTATTAAAATGTAACTGCACTTACTTGAAAACTCGGGAATTTTTTAGACTATACTATATTTAATAAAAAATTAAACAAGATGATAGGAGAAAAGCCATAAATGCCGCATCTATTTTCATCTCCCTTTTCTCAATCTAAGCGAATAAAAATTTCAACAACTGCACCTTCCTGAAAGTAGAACAAAAAGTAGAACAAATTAACATTAGATGAAATAACACATTTTTGAAATCTGCAAAATAAGGACCAGGAGATAGAAAAGTGTACATAGGAACTGAATAAACAATAGTGTTAAATGTAAAAAAAAATCAGGGCCTGGGAGCAATAACCCCTCAGTAGCATTGAACACTCACTGCACTCAAATCTTGGTTCCTAAAGTACCCTTCCCCTCTAAAGCAACCAAGACTTAGAGAAATGCTCACTCCAAGGTTGAAGCAAAGGTTAAGTAGCAAATGAGCTAGGGGCATTATGGTAGCCTAAAAGAACGTAAAGCAAAGGCTGAACGATTCATGGAACTATCTTAAGATAATGGAGCTAGTGTGAAGGAGCTACTACTGGCCAAATATGGCCAAATATTAAAATAACTCATGTCAGTAATGAATTATAATCCACTGAATAAAACAAAAAGTAATCAATCAATTTGCACCTAAAGAAATCAACAAAAGAGAAGGAAAAGAATTTGTTACAATAAAACCCCAACTCATCAATATAGAATATCAGAGGTTAAAAATCAAACCTAATGGGTGATATTTTAGGAAAGAACAATATTACTTACAAAGTCTTAAACCCTTCTCTGCAATTAGTTATTAATTTCAAGGAGGAGAAATGGTGGAGAAACCTGGCAGGTAACACCTTATTTATCAAATGATCAACAGTATTCTCATCAAGATGGGAAAAAAAGCTGTTATTTTGTGCCTCAGAAAGGATACTCGGGCAATGCCAATGATAACACTACCCTAAAGGGCATAATCTGAATCCAATCACAAGGAAACATCAGATACACCCAATTTGCAGGATAGTGTGCCCCCCCCCCCAAAAAAAAAAACCTAGCCTGTGTTCTTTGAAATGTCAGGGTTAAGAAACAGAATGGGGCCGGTGCCGCGGCTCACTAGGCTAATCCTCCGCCTAGGGGCGCCGGCACACCGGGTTCTAGTCCCCGTCGGGGCGCCAGATTCTGGCCCGGTTGCCCCTCTTCCAGGCCAGCTCTCTGCTGTGGCCAGGGAGTGCAGTGGAGGATGGCCCAGGTGCTTGGGCCCTGCACCCCATGGGAGACCAGGAGAAGCACCTGGCTCCTGCCTTCGATCAGCGCGGTGTGCCGGCAGCAGTGCGCTGGCTGCGGTGGCCATTGGAGGGTGAACCAATGGCAAAAGGAAGACCTTTCTCTCTCTCTCTCTCTTTCTCTCTCTCTTTCTCACTGTCCACTCTGTCTGTAAAAAAAAAAAAAAATAAAGCAATAAAGTAATATTGCAACTAACAAAGTGATTCTGCCTGCAGGTGCTGTGGGGTTTGCTGGGGACTCCTCACTCACCCAGCACAGCCACCACCCTGTGGCTAGTGAGTAAGCAATCACTATTTTCTCCTGTCTTTAGATGCCTGTGCATGGTTCCAACTGTTCCTGCAGGGGCATTCCATCACACCGCAGGTGGAACTGGGAGGCTGAGAAATGTCACCTCCCTGGGGTCTGCAGAGAACCCACTTTCCTAATCACCACAACTACCACAAGATCAAGTGTGACAGAGAGAAGCACCTGTGCCAGCAAGCACAGCCCACCCATCACACCCATCGTGTCTACCCTCACACGGCACAGACTCACGTGGCCCTCAGCCCATATCTCCACTACATTTTTGCTCAGAGAAGGAACTGAGGAAACTGGCAAGATGTGCCACAGTCCTGCCTTCAGAGTCCCAACTCCAGATTGCCCAGTGGAGTTGGGGCCAAGCTGAAAATCGGGCAATCCCTAAAGGTCTAGGCTTGGGCCCAGCAGAGACACATGCACCCAGGCCAGTCGAGGCTCCAGGACCCTCCCCTGTGCCCCGCACTCACTCACCGATCATGCAGCTGCCTTGTGCCCTCAGGGCCAAGCACGACAGGGCAACCGGGCATCCAGCTCTGGCCAGGCATGTGGAGCAGCTGATGACACTGTGTACAGGTGGGATGCCTCCTCTCCAGCAGCTGCTGCGATGTACCTGGAGCCTGAACAAAGTTTGAAAGAGTCAGGAATGGGGCAGAGGGTCTGTGTCCCAGCTTGGCCCCGCTGTGCCCCTTGCTACCCTGCACATCCCTATGCTCCCATGGTAGCACGCCTCTCCACCAGCCAAGCTGCAGACCCTCTGGCAGACACGCTCCTGTGTGGGTTTGTCTTCAAGACACTGGCTGACCAAGGAAGGCCAGGTGCCCACAGAAGGCTCACAGATACTCACATGCCTGACAGCCAAGAGCCGCAGTCCCTTGGCCCCTCCCTCCTCACCTGGGGGCCACTGGGACTTGCAGCCCTGGCTCACCAGCTGTGGGAGGCCAGCCCCTTGATCAAGCTTAGCGCACATGCTCAAAGACTGGAACCCCAGAGCTTCTGCAGGATGTCTGCATAGATCGTGCCTGGGGCCCTATCCTTTCCAGAGCAATAGTAGACAAAACATCTCAGTTTCTTGAAAGAGGCTGCTTGGCCTCCCCTGGTGAACAGTCCTGGATACATTGTTTTGCAAAGCTGAAATGTAAGTTTTCCAAGATCCACCTTTGGTAAAGAAAAAAATAAGTACAACAAGTGTCATGAGGGCTTTGTTCTATCTGGAGCAAGACAATGTAACAAAATACATTCCTCAGGAACTTTCTCCCACAATTAGGGAAACACTGTGTATCACGGAGGCAGAATCAGAATTCAGTGGGGCAATAGCACACACCCAACCATCTATTTGGTTTCCCAGTCGATGCTATCACTGCTGTGCTGGAGAACCTCCAAGACAAGCTGAGATAAACTAGAAAATCAGGTAAAACAGGAGTCAAAGAACTGCGAGCAGAAACATCCTTTCTGGATGACTTGATCCATTTCCCATCTCCTAGCCACAAAATCCAGAAAATAATAAGAAACCTGAAAATTAACACATTGGCTAGGCATCTTAATCGCTCACCTAACGGGAGATACCCACCTGGTGGTTCACCCATCCTAGAATCAGAATTCAGCCAGCTACGCTCGTGACTCCTGGGACTGTACGTGATACCTCCGAGCACATATACTTCTTTTTGTCAAGATTTATTTATTTGTAAGTCAGAGTGACACAGAGAGAGGAGAAGCACAGAGAGGTCTTCCATCCTCTGGTTCACTCCTGAATTGGCCGCAACGGCTGGAACTTCACCAATCCGAAGCCGGTAGCTTCTTCCAGGTCTCCCACACAGGTGCAGGGGCCCAAGGACTTGGGCTATCTTCTTACTGCTTTCCTAGGCCACAGCAGTGAGCTGGATCAGAATGGAGCAGCCAGGTATCAAACCAGCGCCCATATGGGTTGCCGGCACTTTAGACCAGGGCAGTAACCCACTATGCCACAGTGCCAGCCCCTATACCTTTTACAATATACAATTTGAAGTACACTTATAACATACAAAATACAATGTATAATACTTACAAAAACAATTTATAACAAAATATAGCATTTCATTGGTAAGATACAATATAATATACGATTTGTACTTCCTTCCATCTAGGTCCTAAAGGCCCGAGTGTCCCTGACATGTGGCCGGGACCTGTGGCCAACAGAAGATCAGGGAGACTAAAATACAACTCTTGAAAACTCAGTGGACCTGACAAAACATGTATCCCCAGGAAACAAGGAAAAAAAAAAAGAAAAGACTCAAGGGACTTAACCACAGAAATGACAGAGAGTACACTACTACCAACCTTACCAAAAACATAATATATATATATATATATGTGTGTGTGTGTGTGTATATATATATATATATATATATAAAAGAACACTATGGAAACACTAAGGCACAAGAATTTGGTGACCCTAGGTACTCTTAACACTTTATAAGCATTCAACCACCTACCTAAAAACTTTTCATAACAAAATAAATAGCTTTCGGGGCCACCGTTGTGGGTCAGTAGGTTAATCCTCTGCCTGCAGCACCTGTATCCCATATGGGTGCCGGTTCTAGTCCCAGCTGCTCCTCTTCTGATCCAGCTCTCTGCTATGGCCTGGGAAAGCAGGGGAAGATGGCTCAAGTCCTTGGGCCCCTGCAGTCATGCGGGAGCCAGGAAGAAGCTCCTGGCTCCTGGCTTCAGATCAGCACAGCTCCAGCCATTGCGGCCATCTGGGGAGTGAACCAGTGGATGGAAGGCCTTTCTCTCTGTCTCTCTCTCTCTCGCTGTCTGTAACTCTGTCTCTCAAGTAAATACATACATACATACAATCTAAAAAATAAATAGCTTTCTACCATTTTACTCTGTGGATGCAGCAGAATTTGCTACTTACTTATATATTATTCTTTTCCATGTATATATTATTCCTAACTTCATTTTTCCTCCCTCATCAGAAAGGAAGACATGCTCAGTTTTGGAAAAACTGTAAATCACAATCATTCAAAAAGGAGAGGATAAAAGCCACCATAACCCCTTCACTAGAATGAGCATGCTAACATGGAGGATTACCTTCTGTGCATTTATCCCATTCTTCATTACAACTAAGGTGACTTTAAACATCTTTGCACGTGAATGTTTGCATTTTTATTTCTTCAGAGTAGAAGATTGCAGAATAAGTGGATCATAAAGCACTAACTGTTTTGTGATCCTAGAATGTAATATCTAATTTCCTTTGGGAGCATTTCTTTCAATGCTGTTTTTCTCAATGCAACCCCAGATTACTAAGAGTCTGAAGCTAAACAAGCAACTCTTAAGGTTCCAAAGCAATCATACACACATCTGACATCCTAGGAGCAGTGAGTCTCCCTTTCCATGCTCACAGCCCAGGCAGGCTGCCAGGTGTCTTCCCTGGGAGAGCCCACAGGCTGAAAACTCCACACCTCCTGGGCTGAGCTCACTCACTCCCTTCTTCCTTCTCCTGACAGGCCAGCACCACTAATCACCAAGCATTAGAACTAAGAGTTATCCTGAACCACCAATGTTACCTAAGTTCAATTGGTTAAGTTGTACCAGTAGCTACAACTGAACTGTCACTAAGGCCAACTGGTCCTATTTCACACAGACCTTGCACATCCTCCCCCTGCACAGCCACTGTCCCAGTTCAGAGTCTCATCGTGTCACCTACATAACTGTAACAGCTGCTCCCAGAAATTCACTCTGGATGTAAATCTATCCCAATCATCTAAAATAAAAAGTCATACCATTCCATCAACATCTGTCCTTACACAACCACAACCACACACACAGGAAACTCAATGTATCAAAACCAAACTGCTGATTTCCCCATGAAACCTCTTGCTCTGGCCCCCTATCTTCCCCTGCAATAACTGACCCACCATTTCACCAGCAGCTCAAGTCAAACCCTAGCATCATTCTCACGCCTTCATTTCCATCAAGCCATCAGTGCCACCTGTAAAGTTTCTCCACTTCTCTCCATTTTCAGCCTGAGCAGATGTGAGCTAAGCAGATTTGAAGCAGGAGCCTGCAGCTTCCTCCAGGATTCCCAAACAGTTGCAGGAGACTAAGGACTTGGGCACTCTTCTACTGCTGGGCCAGGCCACAGCAGAGCTGGGACGGAAGTGGAGGTGCTAGGACTTGAACCACCACCCCTATGGGATGCTGGTACTGCAGGCAGCAGCTTCATCCACTCTGCCACGGCTCGGCCCACCCCCACCCCCAAATGCCCAGGTTGTTCCACTCGTGATCCAACTGGCTAACAAGCCTAGAAAAGCAGAGCAAGAGGCCCAAGGACTTGGGCACCTGAACCCACACTGGAGTCCTAGATAAAGTACCTGGCTTCTGCTTCAGCCTGGCCCAGCCCCAGGACATCGTAGCCACCTGGGGTGTGAACCCATACACTGAATCTTTCTCCACCACTGCCTCATCTATAACTCTGCCTTTCACACCAATCTTTAAAAAGAAAAAAAATCCAGTACTTACCATGAGGTGTCAGAACCTTGGACAGGCTGGAACAGAGCACAGAGGAATTCCTGGGGTTTCTCTAAGCTTCTTTCTAGTCCTTGTGTGCGGTCTGTGAAAATTCACCGGATTATGTGCAATTCATGAGAGTGCCCCAGGCCAGTTTTCCTGCACACACATTACAGTTCAGAACCACCCAGAGAAGAGAGGCCGGGAGTCAAGGCCGCTTCTCATGGACACGGCCAAGACTGCTTCCGGCCAAGGCCAGAAAATCCCCAAAATGGAATCCAGGCCATGGGAAAAGTTCTTCCTCTCCCAACCCATGCCTCCACCTGCCCACCGGCACTCCTGTCATGCTCCCCCTCCCAAAATGCCGCTCTCCTGAAGACGGAAGAAAGAAATTACGGGCTATGTACACCACACATACATATACAGACTGCAGGGGAGAGGAAAGGCCATCATTTTGAAATAGCCCTGCCTATATGTTCTCCACTTGAGAACAAGGAGACCTCTCTACCCTAGAGCCTAATTGACCTTGGGGAAGGGCAATTAGCCAACTCCTGCCCCTGGAAGTCTTGCTGTCTTGCACAGGGGATAAAAGAGCAAAGAAAAAGGCTAGAAAAGTATTGTGAAAGCTATAGGCTAGGGATGTAGGCCAATGAAACCAAATATTCAATCCTAAGATTATACATGCTTTCTTCCTTCAATACTTTAGCACATCATCCGGGCTCCAGATCTATACCAGACACAGGTTCTATTTAAGAAGCAATTTCTAGGGAAACCCCAAAAAAGAGTGTGAGAGACCACAATAAAGGCCCAAAAGGAAAATGAAACCTCTGATACCTACAGCAAAGCAAACATTAAATAGCCTAACTCCTACCTAGAGGAACATAAACCTCACACTAAGTGACCTGCTTACTTTGCTTTCTATTACCTGATACATTGTGTCCAGCTTTCAGAAAAAAAAAAAAAGTTAAAGCAAGAAAAATGCACAGTCTGAAGAGACAAAGCAAACATCAAAACCAGGCCCTACCATGGCAAAGATTCTGGAGCTGTCTGACTGGGTTATTAAAACAACTGTAATCGAAAAATTGGACGATATACAGGACCATGTGAACAATGCACACAGATAGATGGAAACTCTCAAAGAATCAAAAGGGACTGCCAGATCAAAACAACCACTGAGACAGAAACGAAGAATGTCTTGGAGGGGCTCATTATCAGACTAGACACTAGAGAGAAGACAATCCGTGAGCTGGGTATGTATCAATAAAAACTTCCTCAACTAAAAGCCAAAGAAAGAAATGGGGAAAACGCTAATGGAATGCCTAAGATTATGGGACAATTACAAAGGTATGACACACACAAAGCAGGAATACTAGAAGAAGAAAGGAAGGGACAGGGCTGGCGCTGTGGCTCAGTAGGCTAATCCTCCACCTTGCGGCGCTGGCACCCCGGGTTCTAGTCCTGGTCGGGGCACTGGATTCTGTTCCGGTTGCCCCTCTTCCAGGCCAGCTCTCTGCTGTGGCCAGGGAGTGCAGTAGAGGATGGCCCAAGTGCTTGGGCCCTGCACCCCATGGGAGACCAGGATAAGTACTTGGCTCCTGCCTTCGGATCAGCGCGGTGCACCAGTTGCAGCGCGGCGGCCATTGTAGGGTGAACCAATGGTAAAAGGAAGACCTTTCTCTCTCTCTCTCTCTCTCTCTCTCTCTCACTGTCCACTCTGCCTGTCAAAAAAAAAATAAGGATAATAAAGCACAGTTCTTGCTCTGAACCTTTAACACTTCCCTGTTGAGCATTTATAATTGCAATTTGGGCCTGAATCTATACTGAGAAAAATATAGCCTGATGAGATAACAGGGAATGTCTTACATGGTGAATTGATAATGGGAAGGAGAATCTGATCCATGCAGTCAAGTTCAGATCTTAAAAGAGCTTCACCTTCTAGCTCCATCCTTATTGCACTTGACAGCTATTACAGGAATTCCTTAGAATTGTAAAAGAATGTAAAATATCTTTAGCCAACTATTTCTCTAAAAATTGCTTAATAGTTATACTTCACCAATTTCCTTCCTACTTTAATTTTAAAGGGATGATGTGTAAGATCCAATATACTCATTTTGTGTCTCTATTATCATCCTGTGTATTTCTGGTACATGACTGTAATTACAGAAGTCTCCCCTTATCTGCATTTTCATTTAAAAAAACTTTATTTTTTGTTTATTTTAAAGACAGAGTTACAGAGAGAAGTAGAGAGACACAGAGACACAGAGAGAGAGGTCTTCCATCCACTGGTTCACTCCCTAAATAATTGCAATGGCCAGAGCTGGGTCAATCCGAAGTCAGGAGTTTCTTCCATGTCTACTACATGGATACAGGGGCCCAAGGACTTGAGCTGTCTTCTACTGCTTTTCCTGGCTATAGCAGAGAGCATGATTGGAAGTGGAGCAGCCAGGACTTGAACCAGCACCCATATGGAATGCCGGTGCTATAGGCCAGGGCTTTAAACTGCTGGGTCATAGCACTGGCCCCTGCATTTTCAATTTCTAGGATTTCAGTTTCCTGATGTCAACTACAGTCTGAAATAACTAAGTGGAAAAGTTTAGAAATAAACAATTCATAAGATTTAAATCAAGTGCAGCGATGGAACCTCATATCGTCCAGCCTAGAATATGAACAATGTACACACTACCCACTTACTAGCCACCTACCAGCCATTTCAGCTATCAGATCCACTGTAGCAGTTTTACAGTGGTTGTACTCAAACAACTCTTATTTTACTTAAAGCACCCAAATGTAAGAGTAGTGACATTGGCAACTTTTTTAGAGAATATTTTTAGAGAATATTGTTATAACTATTCTATTAATGTGATTGTTCATTTCTAAATTAGGCAACTGTAAGAGACTAAGTTTATTGCAGACATACATATAAAGGGAAAAACATAGTTTATATTTGGTTCAGTACTATCAAAAGTTTCAGGCTTCTACTGGTGGTCCTAAAACAGATCTCCCATAGATTAGGGGGTACCACTATACATTTCTGAAAATAGCATTGTAAATGCAGGTGAGATTATATTTAATCTTATTTTCTCCTTAGAAGCAAAGTTTTGTATGGAATTGCTCTCCAAAAGATACAACTAATGTCTAACTTTTATAGAAATTAGCACAACTATTTTGATAACTGTGAATCAATGTACAATACAAACAAGCACACTACTTATGATACCTATTAGGAGTGTTTACAAACACTTTAATGAGCTCTCTTCCCTGGTACATATTTGTATGCTGCTTTCCCACCCCTTGGAAGGCAGCATGGTCATGTGATTTGATTTGGCCAGTGAGATGGGCATTAAAGTAACTGAAAGTCATTCAGGATTAGAAGCTTTAGAAGCCAATATGCAATTTACCAGGAGTCCTTGCCTGTGGCATGGTGACTTGAATGCTCAGCAGGAGGACAGCTTTGCTAACTAAGGTCCTAGAATGAGAATAAATGACAGCAAAACACCCAGCTGGCCCATTACATAATGCAAATGCCGTGTCTGTGGCAGCAACAAGTCAGCTTCATTATTTTAAGTTACAAATATTTGGGGACTATAAATTATTGCAGAAAAACTTAGCCTAAACTGATATGCATCCTTATATATTAATATATAAAATTTTCTAGAAGGTAGCTAAATCATTCAGTAACCAGTCACATGATTGTTGGTTTCCTTTGAGGCAGTAATTTACAGACAGAAACTTCATCCTATCATTTGCTTTCTATCTAACACATCTATATCTCTCTCCACTGGTCCTTTTCACACAGCAGTTGGCATGCTAAAGCCTCATTGCTGCTAAAACACACTTTTCAGTCTTTTTGTTTTAAATTAAAAGACCTCTTTTTTTTTGAAAGGCAGAATTACAATCAGAGAGGGACACACAGAGAACCTCCATCTGGTGGTTCACTCATCAACTAGCTTCCATGGCCAGAACTGGGCCAGGCCAAAACCAGGAGCCAAGAACTTAATCTAGGTTTCCCACATGGGTGGTAGGGGCCCAAGTATTTGGACCATCTACTGGGAATGCTTTCCCAAGCACATTAGCTGGGAGCTGGATTAAAAGTAGAGCAGCTGGGACTTGAACAGTTGCTCTTCTGGGATGCCAGCATCACAGGCAATGCTTAAACCACTGTGCCACAATACTAGCCCCTATCTTGTAACACATTTGCATTACCTTCTCCTCTCTCTTATCACTGCTAACATCTGTGAAAACACAGTCCACAATGACTGCCTTCTACTTTCCTTTTACCCTTCATATTCCAGCCTCCTCTCTATTCACTTTTTTGGAAACAATTCTATTGATTAGAATTTAGCAAAAATCTAATGGTCAGTTCCATGGTTTTGGCTATGTTACCAACTTTTCTTTTTTCTTTTGTATTCAATGCTGATTAACATGCCTGATCCTTTCAATTCTTCCTTTTACTGCTAATACTATATTTTTGTTCTCAACATGTGTCTTTTCAGCATCTTCGTTGGTTCTTGTATCTCCAAGTATCAGTATTCTTAAAACTCTTTTTCAGATCTTTCATCCCTTTGCCACTTCTTAACTATCTCATTCCCCTGTTTAGCTTCAACTATTGCTGTCAAATATATGATTCCCCAAACTCTCTTTCCTCAATTTGCTTCCTGCTTATTCAGTTACTTGATATATATATCCTCCTGACTATACTATAAGAACCACAAAAATAAATTTACAGTTTTGAATATTTATTTTCCCCTTTTTTTGTCCATTAATATTCCCAAGAGGTCTCAACAGTTTAAATAATTTCCTATTCCTCACTAACCACATTCAATCAGTTCCAAAATCCTATCTGTATTCGCTATTAACCTAAGTATGGAAAAACCCTACGTTTCCTTAAGTACTTGGTCCATTAATTTATCATAAAACAGGTTTGAAAATAATAAAGATACTGGATCCAATAAGAAATTACATGCCACAACAACTAAGATTTCTTCCGAGTATGCAAGTTAGGTTCAACATTTGAAAATCAGCTAATACAATCCAACATATCAACAGGCTAAGAAAGAAAAACTATATGATTACATAAATGGGTATAGAAGAACATTTGATAAAATCCAACATTTATTCATTAAAGAATCCCACAGCAAACTAATAGTAGAGGGGAACTTCCTCAATTACAGAAAGAACATCTACAAAAATCAAACACATCTAAGGGTGAGAAACCAGAAGCTCTCTCATAGAACACAGGCAAGATGTCTTTATGTATAAGAGATATAGTACTATACTAAGAAAATATATATCAATAATATATAGTTAATATATATTAATATGAGGAAGGAAGGATATAAAAGACATAAATTGGGAAGAAACAAATGTCTTTTCCACAGGTGATATGATTGTTGATATAAAAAATCTCAAAGAATCAACCAAAAACTCCTGAAATAAAAACAGTTATTGTTTTTAACAGCAAGGTTATATAACAGTTAGCAAGGTTATAGGATAGAAATTTAACATGCAGGGGCCAGCGCTGTGGCGCAGTGAGTTAACACCCTGGCCTGAGGTGCTGGCATCCCATTTGGGCGCCAATTCAGGTTCAAGACCTGGGTGCTCCACTTCTGATCCAGCTCACTGCTATGGCCTGGGAAATCAGTGGAGAATGGCTCAAGACCTGACCCATGTGGGAGACCCGGAAGAAGCTCCTGGCTCCTGCCTTTGGATTGGCACAGCTCCAGCCATTGTGGCCAATTAGGGAGTGAACCATCAGATGGAAGACCTCTCTCTCTCTCTCTGCCTCTTCTCTCTGTAACTCTGACTTTCAAATATAAATAAATCTTTTTTTTTAAAATGGTAATATGGAAAATAAATTACTTTATGATATGCCAGCAATGAATAACTGGAAATAGGGAAAAAACACTACTGATATTAGCACCAAAAAATTAGTATGACTTAAATAAAAGGCAAAAAGTTGAAAACTAAGAACAAATTCAGGGCCAGTGCCGTGGCTCACTAGGCTAATCCTCCACCTTGCGGCGCCGGCACACCAGGTTCTAGTCCTGGTCGGGGCGCCGGATTCTGTCCCGGTTGCCCCTCTTCCAGGCCAGCTCTCTGCTGTGGCCAGGGAGTGCAGTGGAGGATGGCCCAAGTGCTTGGGCCCTGCACCCCATGGGAGACCAGGAGAAGCACCTGGCTCCTGGCTTTGGATCAGCACGGTGCGCTGGCTGTGGCGGCCATTGGAAGGTGAAACAACGGCAAAGGAAAACCTTTCTCTCTGTCTCTCTCACTGTCCACTCTGCCTGTCAAAAAAAAAAAAAAAAAAGAACAAATTCAGAAGATTGGTACTACCAAACTTGAAAACTTAAAGTAAGCTACTGCCAGCATTCCATATGCACACTGGTTCAAGTCCTGGCTGCTCCTTTTCTGATCCAGCTCTGTGCTATGGCCTGGGAAAACAGTGGAAGATGGCCCAACTCCTTAGGCCCCTGCACCTGCATGGGAGACCCAGAAGTAGCTCCTGGCTTTGGATTGGTGCAGCTCCAGTCATTACAGCCAACTGGGGAGTGAACCAGTGGATGGAAGACCTCTCTCTCTCTCTCTCTCTCTCTCTCTTTCTGCCTCTCCTCCTCTCTGTAACTCTTTCAAATAAATAAAAATAAAAAAAATATATAATGGTTGGTCTTGGCAAAATAATAAGCAAACAGATCAGCACAGAAATAGCCTCACACAAATATAATCAACTGACTATTGACAGAGGAGGGAAGGTAATTCAATGTTGGAAGAATAGTTTTTCAACAAGAGTGCTAGTATAACTGTATATCTACCTGTTAAAAAATCCAAACATAAATCTTATACTTTTCACAATAAATAATTTAAAAAATGGATCACAGACATAAATATAAAATGCAAAACTATAAAACTCCTAGAAAATAGAGAAAATCCCATGTGATCTTGGATTTGATAGTGACAAAAAGAACTACCATGGAAGAAAACTAAACAGTTGGACTTCATAAGAATTAAAAATATATGCTCCTCAAATGACATTGTTGGGGCCCTCGCTGTGACACAGAGGGTAAAAGCCACCACCTGCAACACCAGTATCTCATACAGGTGACAATTGGATTCCTGGCTGCTCCACTTCTGATCCAGCTCCCTGCTGATGGCCTGGGAAAGCAGCAGAAGATGGTCCATGTGCAGGAGACCACGATGAATTTCCTGGCTCCTGGTTTGAGCCTGGACCAGCCCAGGATGTTGTGGCCATTTGGGGAATTAACTAGTAGAAGAAACATCTCTTTTTTTTTTTTTACCTCTTTTTAACTCTGACTTCCAATTAAATACGTAAACAAATCTTAAGATATTGGTAAGAGAATGAAAAGACAAACTACAAACTGGGAGAAAATATTTATAAAATTACACAATCTATCCACTAATATATCTTTCTATGTCCTTGTATACAGGTGTGTGTATACTCCTATCTATAGAATTATATGGGTATTTCCATCATCATTGATACAAGGAGACCTACATAATACAGATATATATAAAGAGATCTATATATGTCTATAGATATAGATATATTTGTGAGGCAGAGATGGGAAAGAGATAAGGGAGTTGAGAGACAGAATGAATAATGGCAGTACAGGGGTGAGAAGAATCAAATATCTTCTCCACATTAAGAACAAGCCAAGAATTATAGGAAATTGTATATTGAAAAGCCATCCTACACCCAAAACACACTTTAATGACTAAAGAAGGACTTAAAGCATACACTACTGAAATTTCAGAAAATCAAATGAGGGTACTTCAAAAACTTTATGGAAAATGAGATTACAAGACAAGTTTATTTTGATACCCAGTTGAAATCCATGCCTATGAGGGGTCTTCAAAAAGTTCATAAAGCACAAATTTTATGAAGAATTTTGCATGTGGATTTCAAAATTTTTTGCACCAAACTAAATTTATCGTTCAATTCTACTTTCCACAGACTTTGAGAAGTACCCATATAAATAATGGAAACATAACAAGCTTACAGACATAAAAAAAGGGACATGTTTAAAAAGAATCAAAATGGCATCAGAATCATCAGCTATAATAATGGAAACTAGAAGACAAATGAGATTATACCCTCAAATTTCCCAATTAAAATGATTTCCAATGCAGACTTCTTTACTAATTCAATTAAAATATGTTGATTGAATAAAGAAATTTTCAGAAATGAAAACTCTCAGAAAATTTACCTCCTATCTGAACTTTCTCAGGAATTATTGGCTGACATTGACCACCCAATCCAGGACCCCCCAGGGAAGAAGAAATGGGATCCAGGAAGGAAAGAGAGGAAGCAGAAGGAATCCCAGGATGAAGCTGAAGAAAGAGGTGGTGGAGTGAGTGGCTGGTGGGCTGTGAAACTCGGGAAAACAGTCTCTCAGGCCAGAGAATATTAATGCAGAAGGGAGGAAGATTCTGAGTGCCAGCAGGGATGTCACAAAGAAAACAAACAAAAGTATCCTACAGGTTTGTCTGAAATTTACCACAGACATGGATTTTGAAAGTTTTAGTCAAGTATCTTAAGGCGAAGTAAACAGGAATACAAAGAAAGATAAGCAAATAAAGCAGAACAATGTTTAATTGCAGGAGAAAAGGGTAATCATAAAACACCAATGGTCCAGCTGTGGCATTTCTAATACTCATAATATGCACTGAATATGGATTGAGTCTCACATAATAGAACAGCTGTATTGGCAGAGTGGGAGAAAGATGTGTGTTGTAGGGGAGCTGTCGCAGACATTGTAGAATACAATCTTCCTCCTAGTTAACAAATAAAAAAGGTACACAGTCTTTTTAAAGTTAAAAATATAGAATTGGAGGGGCTGGTGTTGTAGCAAAGCAGATTAAGCCAATACCTGCCACACTGACATCTAGACTATGCTTCCTATCCAGCTTCCTGAGAAGGCACCTGAGAAGAGATGAGAAGATGGCCCAAGTGCTTTGGCTGCGGCCACCCACACAGAAGACCAGGAGGGAGTACCTGGCTCTGGCCTGGCACAGAACTGGCTCCTGTGGCCATTCAGATAGTGAACCAGCACAGACAAGATCTCTCTTTGCGTCACTTCAAGCAGGAAGAAGCTTGATACTTTGTGAGTTCTACCTTTGAAATTAAAGCATTTTGTAAAATATGTTGAGGAAACTTTTAAAAATGTATTACAATACCTATAAAAACAACAGAAGGAAAATTCACACCCAGGCTCATGAAAAGATATTCCCAGCACTCTATAGTCAGTGGGAATTTTTTCATTACCCTCTCTTGCAGTTAAATGGTACCTCCTACTCTACCCTGATATTTTGATTTTGTAATAACTCTTAAAATGTTGTCCAACCTTTACTATCTTAGTGTGTACGTGTGCATTAAAGAAATTTCTTTAATTTTTAAGAGTGTATGTAGTTGAGAGGCAAAGAGAAGGATAGAGAGAGGTGAGGGAGGGAGAGGGAATGTGCATGTGTGTGCGTGTTTGTGTGTGTGTGTATGTGTATGTGTGTTAGAGAGAGAGATTGAGAGAGAATATGCTCCAATCCACTCTCTAGATATCCACAACAGCCAGAGATAGGTCAGGCTCAAGATGGAAGCTAAAGACTCAACCTGAATCTCCCACATGGGTTGCACAGACACAACTATGTGAGCCATCACCTACTGCCTCTTAGGATGCACATTTACAGGAAACTAAAATTCAGAGTGGAGGCAGAACTCACCAAAGCACTTGATGTAGGCACCTCAAGAGGCATCTTAACTACTGCATCAAACGTCTATCCCAAAGGAATTTCTTTACCACAATATGACTGCAATATGACTACATGGAGCATGGTAAAAAGTGATGAACTTAATTTTGCCCTTACGAGGCAGACATAATTCATTATCCAAATGGGTCAGCTATATCAGAGTCTCAAATAAATACAAATATATTAGGCAACATGCACTCATTAGCAACATTATCCAGAATGCTGGTTACATAGCATATAGCTCCAAAGCAGAGTTGATGACATATCATTTTTTACAAGAATTACTTTATTTATTTGAAAGACAGAGTTACAGAAAGAGGCAGAGAGAGAGGTCTTCCATCCACTGGTTTACTCCTCAAATGACCCCAATGGCCAGAGCTGAGCTGATCTGAAGCCAGGAGCTGGGAGCTTCTTCTAGGTCTTCCACACAGGTGCAGGGTTCCAAGGACTTGGGCCATCTTCTACTGCTTTCCCAGGCGATAGCAGAGAGCTGGATCAGAAGTGGAGCAGCCAGGACTCAAACTGGCACTCATGTGGGTTGCTGGTGCTGCAGACCAGGGCATTAACCCACTGTGCCACAGCGCTAGCTGCAATGATATATCTTAAATAGATTAAAAATCTGCTGCAAAATGTTCTGGTTTGTTCTTGAAGTTGCTGGTTTTACAATATCCATCCTCTCCTTTTTGTTTTAATAGTCAGCCTTTCACATTTTTGTTAGAAATATGGCTGCTTGGCTAGCGACTACTACATTTCTCAGGATCTTCTGAAGCTAGATATTGCCATCAGACTGAATTTTGGCCAGCAGATCACAGACAAATACTGACATGTAGGACTTCCGGTTTTTGTACTCAAATATAAGGAGCAGAGCCAAGTATTTGGTCTAGCATCAGTTAAGATGCCCATGTGCCACATCTAATACCTAGGATCGATATCCAGCTCCTGTTCCTGACAGTGGAAACCCTAGAAAGGGGCAATGGTGACTCCAGTAGTTGGGTTCCTGTACTCATGTGAGACCCGTAGATTGAGTTCCTGGATCGTGGTTTTTGCCTAGCTTGGCCCAAGATGTTGCAGGCATTTGGAAAATAAACCATCAACTAGGAACTGGTGAGCTCTGTTTCATGGCTGCCAGTCAAATAAGTGATTTATTTTTTAAGGAATATGTTTTCTACCACCTCCCTCTCCCTGTCCCCACTGACTAGAAAAAAAAAGAAAGAACAGTAATATTAGATCATAAAATGAAAGCCTCAGCTCAAATACAGAAGACAGAAGGATCCTGGGTTCCGACACCTTCAAGCTGCCAGGCCACTGATCACTTACCCAGACATGAAAGGGAGGATATCATCTTCTATGTTGATTGTCATTGCATTTTAGATATGCTATTGCCTCAGAGAGCCCTGTACGCTATCTAATAAAGTTTCACCTAACACTTTCCTCAAATGTAATTCAAGGGCTCTTGAGACTCTACTTAATTTACCCAGCATCTTTTTTCTAAAGAGTCCAATTCACATTTCATAATTTTACATCATTTTTCTTCACTGTGTCTCTGATGTAATCTCATAACAATGCTTCAAGTCTGGATCAACCCCCAGATACCATGACCAAAGTGCTCACATCAGGCTTTTTGCCCTGGAAAAATCAACATCTGGTTCTGTTTCACCCTGCTAGACAATGTAAAGTTCCAGTTTTCAGGTACTAAGAACGAGATTACTTTAACTCATTTTTCAGAGCAAATTTCTTCCCATTCATTGTCCTTTCAATTCACCAAAAATACAATAGTTAACAGATGGCAACTTAGGGCTTTTTGCTGGAGTTATCTTATGGCACAAGATAGTTAATATCCTTCAACTCACCCATAAAAAAGGCTTGCATGTAATAAAGATTGGTTCAGATACCTATGAAGTATTTTCACCTATTTGCAAAGAAAAACACTAAACATTCCATGGCTCACTGGCTCTCCCTGGCACCTCATTTTCTCTTCATAAAAACAAGATAATTATACCTGCCACAAACTATTTCACACTGATGTTATGAAGATAAATGAGATAATCTATATGTGAAAGCATTTTGTGCTCTTAGGAAGAATAAATCCACCTAAATTCAAGATGGTATAATTCTTTATAATGCTTTCCAGGGCTTTCTGAACGACTCCACAGAGGTCATTACCCACAGCAAACTTTGGCACTGCAGGACCACCTTTCTCACAAGATTTCATCTCTTGCACCTGACAACACTTTTCCATTAATTGGAGGGTAAGTCCAGATGCTGTTCTGTTTGGTCATCTCCAGTGCTCTAAAAGGATCCAGATTTTTTACTCCAATTTTTGTTTGCATCAAGTGAGCAAAAAGCTCCCTAAATCACAGGGGGTTCAGTTGACAGGTTAACAGTGAGACCCACTTCAATCAACCTCAAATGCAAAGCAGATCTGGCAAGAATCAAGGAGGGGATGAGTGGGAAAGGAAAGCCCTGGTGGCAGTCTGACAACTCCCTCATGTCTACTGTCTGCCATCATACATCAGTGACCCCCAAGGCCCCATCCAATCTGCTGAACTTGGCCTCAAACTTCACCAAATGATGTTCTTTACATTGACATTCCTTAGTTTTGTACAGAAATCTGCTCTAGGTACCTAACTTCAGCCCAGAATTTAGAACTATGAATTTATGGTTGTAAACAAGAAAGTAAGAATTTTACCCCCGGCCCATAAATTACAGCTCTTAACCTGAAAGCTAACACATTAGTGACCCTGATTAACATCCTGTTTATCCTCATTTGCTTTTAGGTGAAGTGCCAAGTGTTTCTGCACACCCCATGCTCCTTTAGAATACTGCCAAGCAAAGAAATTAACAGGGAGCATGCCAGCTGCCCCTGGATCTCACTGCGTATATATGTGACAGGACCGAGTCAAGGCATCCCATATCAGATCATCAATTAGCTGTAGAGGTTGGGCGAGGGGCGGCTTTAACAACTTGGCAATCTTCCTGAAGCACAGTTACAGTGATGTAAAGAAATATCAGAGCCTGGGTGAATTGTAAGATCATTCCAGATCCTCTCCTGATGGCTCATCCCTGAGGCTTCATCCACTGACAAAACTTCGTATAGAGCTCAGGTGTTGATATCAGTTTTCATTGAGATTTCTCAAAATGCTAATTTTCTATTGCATAGTTTTCTCTTAAACAGATGTTAGAAGACAGTTGCTGATCTGTTCAGATGATGTGGAAGAAAAGAGAAATTATGTGTTAACCATTGTTTGAAATAAACACTAGACATGACTCTGTAACTTCTAATGTCTGCTAATTCTATTTACAAGCTAATGACTACTAATTGCATTTGTTATTGCTCAAAGACGATCAATACTGAAGATGTTAGACAAAGTTAGAAACAAAAGAAAGTGAATATTTCATTCAGAATTCATTCATCCAAACATATACTTGAAGTTATGCTTTGCAGGTCAGTCCTAGTTACCTATCAATAACCAGATATGTGCATGCTCTATTAAAAAACTGCTTTTCCTTGTGATACTATGACAATGGTTGCTAAGACACTCCGAAACTCCTTCCAAAATTATTAAAAGATTGTGTGTGTGTGTGTGTGTTTTATACTAGGTCCAATGTAATCATCACTTTTCCTGGTGATCATAAACCAGAGTTTTCTGCCACTTAACAGAGTGCCCTCTGCTGATGAAGTTATAATACGTAATAATATGAACATCACACCATTGAAACAGCTATAATACAACAGACAACTCAAAAGTGAGTCTTGCATCATTTTTCCCATGCATCAATCTGGACAAAACTACTTTGGATGAATGAGTTCAATTTACAAGCTAGCTCTTAATGCTTCTAAATAGAAGTACTCCAGTATACAAAAAAATTATGTAATCACTTTTATACCATGTTCTTTCCATCTGCATTCATTTGTTCAAACATGTACTAAAGGTTTTTTTTATTACTATTATCCCCTGAAGATATAGCCTCCCACTCCATCCAGAAGATGAAGACCCCTGCAAGAAAAATTTTTTTCTAAGAAAATGTTAATAAGAAAAATTTATACTTTTGCATCTCATTCAGATAATTTAACAGCAGGAATTTTTTCTCAAAAGTTAATCAACATGGTGATTTCCAGGTTTGTTTTTTTTTTTTTTGAAATTCTAATATATTGTTTTGTTGAAAGACTATTGAGCGTTTAGGACACTACAAAGAATCCTATTATGGATCAATTTTAGGAAGGAAAAATGGAGGATGCAATATAGAGAGAAGAAGCTTCAAAAAATGTTAAAAGCTGAAAGGCTCCTATTAGTATAATTATGAAAACAAGTCATATAATGTCATCAGAAAACTTCATTTTGTGTTGAATAATATTTTGTACAGAAATTTTAACAATAAAGTGGCCTGGAACTTCTGAGTGTCTGTTTGTTCAACAAAGCAATCTTCTTTTGATTAAAACTTTAAAATTCATTTCTCTTCAAAAGGAGATCATGATCTACCTGAATTCATGATTGTAGCTCTTTTAGGATTCTGTCCACCCTATGAAACAGTGCAGAACACAGTTTAGCCACAAGATGGAAGCTTAGATAGCAGCCACGTTGAACCAGTAAAATCCAGCTTATAAGAGCAGAATGGTGGTCACCAAAGGCTGGAAAGAGTAGGGATGGGGGAAGGCTATGAAATGGATACTAAATTACAGTTACATAGGAGTAAGAAGTTCCTGTGGTTCTACTACATAGTAAGGTGAACACAAACAGAAATGTAGTATGTATTTTCTTGAAAAAAAAAAAAAAGCTAGAAGAAAGATTTCAATGTTTTGAGTCACTGTGTACTTACTTCTCATGTGGGATCTGTCCTTAATGTGTTGTCCAATGTGAAGTAATGCTATAACTTGTACTAAAACAGTATTTTACACTTTGTGTTTCTGTATGGTTGCAAACTGATGAAATCTTTACTTAATATATACTAAATTGATCTTCTGTATATTAAGATAATTGAAAATGAATCTTGATGTGAATGGAATGGGAGAGGGAGTGGGAGATGGGAGGGGTGCGAGTGGGAGGGAAATTATGGGGGGGGGAAGCCATTGTAATCCATAAACTGTACTTCGGAAATTTATATTTACTAAATAAAAAAAAAGATAAAAAAAAAGATTTCATTGTTTTACCACACAGTGATGACAAATGCTTGAGATAGATGTTTACCCAGATTAGATATTGCACAGTGTTCACATACGTTGAAACCTCATATGGTACCCCATAAACATGTATAGTTTCATGTATCAGTTAAGAACAGGAGCTATAAAAAATTTAAAATTCTCTATCTCTTTATAACTTAGAGTGAATTAAATTCTTCCCCTACCATGGTAGAAAACTCATTCATGAAAATTTTGATTACTCTTAGGTAAACAAAAATGCCATGATTTCCTTAAGTTGCAAAATATAGATGCCTAGAAAGTCAGTCCCTATTACAATTTAAGAGTGCAACATCCCTCTACGTTCCAGCTACTTCACCTAGCCCCAGGTAGAGCCCACCACCTCAGAAGGGAATGAGTGATATTTTTTGTTTCTGAATCACCTTAAAACTTCTTAGCCCTCTGCTCATTCTAATCCTTCAGGATGTTTTTAATGTGGGTGGGAGATGGGAGGAAAAAACTGCGGAAGAACTACGCGAACAAGAGTGTTCTTAACTAGCATTGTGGTTGGTAGGAAGGCATCCCATTCTATGAACCTGGAAGATGCTATGGAAAAAATATTTTTAAAATGTTAAACATGTATAAAGAAAAAACAAAGCTCTTTCTGCTGTACAGTGTCCCTGGGAAGTTTAGGAGACATTACCATTGCTGTGGAATCTTTGACCTTGCCAAATTTTATTCCCAGTATAGCTCTTCATTCCACCTCTTCCTAAGTCCCAAGGACCCCAAGGATCTGACTGGAGCTCTCATTTGCCCTATTCTGTTCAGCACCTCTGACAACCGTTCTGAACAATATTCAGTATTGCACTATAGCTGATCCACAACAATGCTGTTCATATTCAGAATGTGGGCTTTCATAACCATAAGACTTGCATTTTGAATTATAATCCTTATCTTTCCTGATTGTTTGCTCTTGGAGAAATTAACTCTTGAGTCTCAGTTTCCTCATCTATAAAATAACACACCATTGTAATATTTTTATTTTTTATTTTTTGACAGGCAGAGTGGACAGTGAGAGAGACAGAGAGAAAGGTCTTCCATTGCCATTGGTTCACCCTCCAATGGCCGCCGCGACCTGCACACCACGCTGATCTGAAGGCAGGAGCCAGGTGCTTCTCCTGGTCTCCCATGAGGTGCAGGGCCCAAGCACCCAGGCCATCCTCCACTGCACTCCCTGGCCACAGCAGAGAGCTGGCCTGGAAGAGGGGCAACCAGGACAGAATCCGGCGCCCTGACCGGGACTAGAACCCGGGGTGCCGGCGCCACAAGGCGGAGGATTAGCCTAGTGAGCCACGGTGCCGGCCCAATTTACTACTTCCTAAAATAAAATCTCTATTAGCACCACTCATCAGATTTTAAAAAATTATTTCTAGAAAGACTTTTTCAATAAATTACATGAAGCAGTCAACATATTAAACTCCTGGTAACCAGCAACAGATTCAGATAAGATTCAGATGAGGTAGCTTGGTGGCCCTGACCATCCTGTCTGAAATGTAACTCCCGTCTATATGCCAAGCCTATCTGTCCCCACATCTCTTGATTATCTGTTTCTTATTTATCATTGTAACAATTATTAAAGATGTGTTATACATTTAATCTCTGGATTATCAACTACTAATAAATGTATATGCATGAGGTCACATCTTTTATTTAATGTTATCCTGTGTCCTTATACCTTTAGACAATGTGCAGCACATATCAGATGTTCATTTCATTTATTGAATGGATTGATGGGAGGAATGAAGGAAGGCAAGGAAGGAGGTGGGAGGGAAGGAAGGAGGAAATTCAAAGATAACAGAAAAAGAAACTGAGTGGGTCACCATAAAAGAAGCACTTTAAAATTAAAGATACCACGTGAGTACTGTGGGGTTGAATTGTGGTCCTCTAAAAAGATATGTCCAAGTGTTAACCAGGGGTACCAGTGAACATTACCTTACTTGGAAATAGCCTTTGCATGTATATTCAAATCAAGATGAGGTCATGCTGGATTAGAATAGACTAATTTAATCTGTCTTTATAAGAGACATAGGCACACACACAAAAGGAAGATGGCCAGGTGAAGACAGGTGGAGACAGGAGTTAGGAATCTACAAATCAACATAACATGCCTGTGGCTACCATAACCTGGAAGAGGGAAAGACTCCTCCCTTTAAGTCTTCAGAGGAACCATGGTCCTGTCACCCTCTTGATTCCTAACTGCCAAGAATTGTGGGAGAATAAATTTCTGTTGTCTTAGGCCACAAGTTATGGCACTTCTGTTACAAAAGCCATAGGAAACTTACAAAACTTGGCATGTTAAGAGAAGCATCTCAGTGGAAAGTCAAGACACTGTGGGAAAAAAAAAGACCTAAATGAAAGATCTCTGCAAGTGAGATCCCAGCAGAAAGAACGGGCCATCAAAGAAGGAGGTACCTTTTTCTGAAGGAAGGAGAGAGCTTCCACTTTGACTATGGCCTTGGCTAAATAAGATATGAGTTGGCAAACTCAAGAGACTTCCATAGCCTTGGCAGCTTATGACAAGAGCCTCAGGTGATTACTGATGCCATAAACAAGAGTGTTAATTTGTTAAGTCAACAGGAGTCACTGTGCACTTACTCCCCATGTAGGATCTCTGTCCTTAATGTATTGTACTATGTGAATTAATGGTATAACTAGTACTCAAACAGTACTTTATACTTTGTGTTTCTGTGTGGGTGCAAACTGTTGAAATCTTTACTTAGTATATACTAAATTGATCTTCTGTATATAAAGATAATTGAAAATGAATCTTGATGTGAATGGGATAGAAGAGGAAGTGGGAGATGGGATGGTTACGGGTCAGATGGTGGTTATGGGAGGAAAAAGCTGCTATAATCCAAAAGTTGTACTTTGGAAATTTATGTTTATTAAAAAAAGAAGCATCTCAAAAAACAGAGTAAAAGATAATAAGGCAAACTTTGCCTAACCATAAACACTCACCATTATATTGACCCAAAGCTGGCTGTAAAACAATAAATACATACTAGGAGCTTTAAAAAGGAAATTCTTAAAAAGAAAAAAAAAAAGAAATTCTTGGACCAATAGAGTATATTATTCCTTTTAAATCTAGTATATATTTAAATTGTTTTATACATGTGAGTTTTAAATTGAAAGGCAGAGAGACGGATCATGCATCCACTGGTTCATTTCCAAAATCTCCCAAAAGCCAGGACTAGGCTAGGCCAAGGTCTTGAACCATCACCTGCTGAACGACTGTAGCAACACTGAAACCGAGGCACTCAGACACAGGACACAGGCATTCCAAGCAACCTCTTCACCGCTATGCTAAATGTTAACCCCAGATTATTCTTTTAAAAAACTAGTTATTTTGCCTCATTTTCACTATACATATTTACCTTATAAATGCTCTTTTAGGTTTCTAACAAATAAAGAAACAGAA